GATTGCAGGCATGCATTGGCAATAGCCTGAAAGCACGTGTGGTAGCTGTTTTGAAGATCAAAAGTGATTTGTATTGATTTGATGGGTGTCTTAATTAAGACACCCATATAAAGGCACCCAATACTTCCAACATTGGTCCCCGTTATAACGAGGTCCAATGTTGGGCATAATTCTTATTTGAAGCGCTGTGGCTGGTTTGGGGCCGCCTCAACTGAGGCTGGCGGGAACGCAGGGCCGCTGGCGTGTGGAAAAGAAAGCGGTGCTGAACAGCTGCAATGAATCTTTGACTGCGAGTTTCCGTGAGCAAAGTATCCAAGGGATCCTTCCTAAGCGTCGATACCAATATCTTGGACTGGATGCGGTCGTGCAGCGAATCGTCGTTCATGGCGACTGATTGCGGCTGGAATTCGGGGCACGTTTTGCATGCCCAGCGTCGCAGCGAATTTCCCTGCCGGTTTCTGAGCGTGGATCGCGCGACGACCTTCGCTGTGGTCCCCACCGTCAGATTGGCTGCCAAAATCGCTGCATTCTGTGTGAGATTCGCGCTCCAGAGCACCCTGGCGAGCAGCACATCGACATGGAATCGTGAGCACCGATTGCTGAAATATCCTGCAGCAGCTCACTGTTGATTGAGCCATGCGTGTGAAGGGCAAACTCGACGACGTTGTGTTCCGTGCGCACTCCAGGTGGTCCAACACAGTGGCCCAATATGCCCTGATCTAAGGGGAATGACATGGTATGGCGATGCAAACATGAAGCTCGAGCGTCGACAGTAGACTCGGGAATGCCTATACTGGCCTCGAAGTGCAGATTCAACTGCCTTGGATGGTCGGGCCAGCGAAAGCCTGGCGGTTTGTGGGATTGGTTGAGTGTTTGGTGTGCGGGAACAAAGAGATGCATCGAGAGCCAATGCACTGTGTGCCAAGGAAATATTGCATTAATGCCTGGTTTGAGATAATGGGATATGCCAGTATAAGCTTTACGCGTTTCTGGAAATGCGGGCAAGTATTCACGGCGCAGTGAATTGCACTGGATGCCTGAGCACAACGCATTGGACATGTGACTGGCAAGTTGCACCAGCAGGCTCTTGCCTCTGGTATGGAACTGCTCCAAAGAAAGAATAGACGTCTATTCGTGTGTCGACACCACCACTGTGTGTCGACATCAGTGATGTGATCAACATCATAACATCCGCTGCTTGACGACACCACTCTTGTGTCGACACCAACGCTCTGTGTCGAAACCAGTGTGTCGACACTACTGCTACCTTGCATGAGATGTGCGAGGCCTGAGTTGATACGGCTAAGGCAAAGGCGAGCGGTTTACACTAGCAAAAAAAGGGCTAAATAATACTTTTGCGAACACACATAAACACACATTTCATTAAAATTCTGCACGCTAAGAACACAAAAATAGCACAAACCCGTTAACTTTGTACACGTTTGAACACGTGTTATTTTGCCCTTTTCCTCCTAGTGTTCAATTGATTTTAACGTCTGTTTCATTAATTGCCTAATATAAGGAATATGCTCGCAGGGCTTGAGAGTAAAGGAACGGAAGAAATCCACACATTTCATCTCACTGTTGGCACTGAGAATCGAGTGATCGCAAATACAGTTCGTGGGTGATTGGCGCGAGTTCAATGCATACATTGATGTATGACATACCATGCAGTGTGTAAATTGAACGGACTAGTCGAGAAACAACAATGGACATCTTAGTCGCTGTAAAGGGGTGCTTTTAGTTGATGACACATGTTTTTGTTGTGAGTGCATGGGTGCAGATTGAGCACGTGTTTTGAGCAAAATGCCAGTGCTTTTCGACGCGAATGGGGTGCAGTTGGCAGGCATCGGTTCCCATTTTCGTGATTCTGAATATCAAAATCTGCTTCTGTTTCAATTCCACCTTCAAAATGTAATGGACACGCTAGTTTGGTCCACGGCACGCTTGGTTTTTATGCCGTAAAAGCTGATCGTATTTACGTTTTTACGCATAAAAACAGTTTTTACATTTTTACACGTAAAAATGCGCAAAAATACGTAAATACAACGTAAAAGCTGTCCGGTGTACATAAGCACAGTACAAACAGACTTACGGAGTCCAGAGAGTGGCAGCCAGACGCCCTGGAAGGGGCAGAAAACGAGTTTTTGTTAAACACCATCATCGCCCTTGCCAAAGGCGAGGTGGACTCTGTGTTGTGGGTGCTGGATATGGCAGAGAACTGATTATTGTACGCAACTTTCATCGTGTAATCTGGGCGTCGCAGGGAACCATAAAGTTTATGGTTTAAAGTTTATTTTTACGTGTTTAACACGTAAAAATAGCCGCAAAAATAGGCCCTTTGCAAATTTACGTTTTTACGCGTAAAGACGCAAAAGTAAAAACGTAAACGTAAACGCAAAGCCCAAGCCTGGTCGACGGGGCTGGGAGTTCAATGTGTATGATGTGTTGATCTGGCAGCCATGAGCTGAGGCACCCGCGATGGGACGTGTACAGTTCAGAAAAGAATAGTGCAGAATATTTGAATCATGTTGACACTGTTATGATTGCCGAAGACATGCAATGGGGCGCAACATGTTGCGTGAGGCCCCAATGTTTCTGCATCTATCTTGCATTGTTGAATGGGGCCCATCCACCATGAGTGTGAAAGGCGTTTTGTATTGGCGCCAATACATCAAGGCCGGCCTTGATGTTGGGGCGTTGGTCATCCAATCACGGGATGCGATTGTAAAAAAATCAGCATTTTTTGGCATTGCACTATGTTGCCTGTCAAACTATCGTAAACGGCCGTCTTTCAAGAATCCCGACCAAATTAAGTGGTTGTGCGTTTGGTGCTTGTGAACAGTGCTTGCAAGAAGGCAAGACTCCATTGGCCCCGACTGGCCAGGGACGAACGTTCCAGCGCTTCTGTCTGCTTGGCCCCGCCTGCATGTCGAATTTCGCTGCAATTTTCTCAGCGCTGTGAATTCAACGTCAAGACGGCTGGGGCCCATGGCCCGGCGAAGGCGTAGAGAACGCACGTCTGTGCTTCATCGCATTCATCCCACGCCCACCCGTCACTTTCTGCTTCGTGTGTGCAACCAACCCTTGCTAACCATTTTGGCAAAGTGCTAAAATGTTACACCCTGGCACCCAAGCTTGGTTTTTACGTTTGCTTTAATGTTTTGATGCGGTAAAACGTTAATTTGCGAAGGGAGGTATTTTTATGATTATTTTCACGTGTTTACGGCTCGTGGGGATAGCCAGGCTACACGATGAAAGCTGCGTACAATGATCAGTCCTCCGCCATCTCCAGCACCTGCAACACAGTTTCCACCTCGCCCTCGGCAAGGGCAACGATGGCATTGAGCAAAAGCCGTTTTCTACGCAATCCAGCGCGTCTGATTGCAACTCCCCGGACTCCCCAATTCTGTGTATACTGTCATTATGTACACGGGGCTGTATTTACGTTTTATTTGCGTATTTTACGCGTTTTTGCGTGTAAGAGTATAAAACTATTTTTACATGCAAAAACGTAAATACGTTCAGTTTTTACGGCGTAACAACCAAGCCTACTGACAGTAGTCTCAACATTCAGTCAGTGCAAGCAAGATTGAGTCCACAGCGCGCGTCCAACTTGCGTGCGCGTGTCAACCTTGCCTGCATTGACTGAATGCCTGCGATGGCCACGTTGTCATTCACAGCACACACGAGGGGGTGCGTCTGTTGCAACTTCAATTGAAGTGGTTCATCGTACGAAGTTCATCATCGGGACATGTTTTATGCACATGAGCCTCACTTTCCGCCATGGGGCAGCCGCTGCCCGCAGTACGTAAGAACCAAACCTTGGGGGTGCCCATTCTCGGAAGGCTGGGGCCAGCGCTTCCGCGGGGGGAGCACCTTGCGGCACCGGCGGGGAGCTCGAGACGCGCAAGGTGGCTTGGCGATCTGTGCGCACGGGTTGCTGGCTTGTGCTGTCTGGTGTGGGCGAACCTGCCGAACCTGCCGAGCGACGGCCCCGATGGTCGCAGACAGCGGCGCTGCGTCCAATCTGGCGAGAAAACAACTTTCTCACTCCTTTGATTGATTCTCGTTTGTAGCTGCCTGCTCGCGACTGCTGCTGGCAGAATTGCTTGCGGGGTGCGCACCATCTGGCTCGCCAGTTTCTTACACGCCCTTCCCGTCCAGTTCGGCGGGTCCGGGCGCGCCCGTGATATTGGGTGGGGCAGCGGCCAGACTCCTCGAATGTTCTGCCACCACCCCAGCCATACTGCGGCCCCAATCATTTGCCCGAGCGACGGAGCTCCACTATCGCACGTGGCTGCTGCCACCCTGCGCACGCCATAGCGACTGAGCGAGGGTTTGCTCGCGGTGGATTGCAAGTGGCGAGGGCAGGGGCGTTTCTGGGCGTCGGCGGCGGCCCCCCGATCTGTCGACCCCTCTGTTGGGCCGCCCGCGAGTCGCTTTGCGCGCCGTCGGCGGTCAGCAAGCGCGCCCAGAAGCTTGCTGTGTGCATCCTGTCGTATGGGGTTTGATCCTGTTCCCGTTGCCGCCATCCTGCCACAGTAGAGCGCTCAAGCAATGCGGCGTCCCACACTGATGGGGGCCGTCATGCGGGAGCAGCCAATTGGCGCCGCGGGCCCCCGCGCCGTAAGGCCAAAGGCCCGTAGTCGCGTAGTAGGTTGAGCGGTGCCCCAAAGTTGCCGGCAAGGGCTTTACACAAGCGGTCCAAAGTACAGCCAAAGTACGCGGATTCCCGGGCGGCCGGCCGTGTTGCGCTCCGTGTCGTGATGCACCACGTCAGGGGCGGGGCGTTGTGCGTCTGCCCGAAGGGTGCCAATCCGGTTTGAAGGGTTACCACCCGATTGGCCTCCCCCTTGCGGTGGGTGTGCGCGTGGGGGCTGTCACCCGCCCCCCTCCCCCCCCCCTTCCCCCGCTTGGATCGCCCAAGAGCTGCTCGCCAAGCGTTGCGTTCACCACGCTCTGTGTGCCGCCTGCCCTCCAGAGCGGACCCTCCGGCCATGGCCGGCGAGATAGAGCCCTCATCGATGCCCCCCCTGGAGGCCAGGCTCGAGCACGGCCCCCTGGCGCGCCGCGACGAGGTGCTGGCGGACACCAGGGAGCGCATCCTGCGCAGCGTGAAGTGCGCCGACCCGTGGGACTCCGGCTTCAACTTCGTGGACCCCGTGCTGGAGGCGTCGTACTGGGATGCGCGCGTGCGCCGCGACCTGTGGTTCGTGGACACCACAGCCCACTGCAACTGCGCACTCATGGCTGCCGGGCTGCTGGCGCCGCTGCGCGCGGCCGCCGCGCCGGACTACCTCACTTCCGGGCTGCTGCCGGCATGGATAGGCCTGCGCGCTGCCCTCTCCCTCTGGGCATTTGAGGGCGGGAAGGCTTACCTAGCGTGGCGCACCACCGCCATCGCGGTCGTCAGGCTGCTGTTTGCCTTCCTGGGGGCGGTGATCGGCTGGTGGGCGCCGCCGCCGGAGGCCACGCCCTGGGCTGTGCTCACGCGGGTGGTCAGCGGGTCGATGGTGATCGGCCTGGTGGCGACATCAGTGGGCCTGCAAGTCAAGTCCAGCGTCGGCGTCAAGATTCAGTTCGTGGCCACGGCGCTGTCTATGCTCATGGTGCCCGGCTACTGCGCGGCGGGGCTGGATGAATGCCGCTTCGCGCCGGCGCTGCAAGTCATCGGGGGGACCATCGACAGGGTGATGCAGTACACGGCATTCGGGCTCTTTCGGTTGGATATGGGCGGCCCGAGCGATCAGGATGGCCAGGCGTACACGTGCTGGATGGTGGTGACGTTCATGCAGTGGGCGGTGGGCTTCCTGCTCACCAGCACCGTGGTGTACTGCATAGAAGGCTGGTCGCGGGTGTGCTTCGTGCGGTCGTGCGTGGAGGTGGACGGCCAGGTGTGGAGGCGGCTGAGGAGCCGGTGGCTGGGGTCGGCGTGCACGGCGGTCGGCGTGGCCTGCGTGGCGGCCGCATCGATCTGGGAGCTGCTGCGGATCACGGAGGAAGCCCGGCAGCTGGGCACCTGTGATGCGGAGTGCGGAGATTTGTGAGGGCTTGGTTTGGAATGGAGTGGGAGTTGGGGACTTGGGATTTTGGGTGGGCAGCAACTGCTTGCAGACCGTGGCTCGAGCACGCTGCGCCGGGTTGCTTCGACCTCACGACCTCGTGGGATTGCGCGCGCATGTCTCTTGCATGCAGCGGGAGAGGAGCCGCAACACAAACGAGCCGTTGGGCAACATTGCCTTTGCTGAGGCCAACAGCAATAATGCCTTGACGTCACGTCAAAGGTAGCAGGAGACCTTTCACACGAACGTTTACAGCAGAAATGCACTTGATTTCGAGCCTCGATGCCCTTTCGCGCCACTTGAAGATCATTTGGCGGTTGCTTCGATTTTGGGATAGCAGTGGAAAGGACAACACCTAAAGGAATGGATTCATGGAAATGACTGGCTGGTGCGGCGCGCTTGGACTGTTGGTGATTGATAATCTTGATCATTGACATCGTGTAACACTATTCAAATTGCTGGTACTCTCTGGAGGATCTTCATCTTGGAGCCCTCCCAGCTTTGGCTTTGTCCCTTGAATTTGACCTGTTGGGCGGTTGGCATGGCACCCTGCTGGTGAGCAGACATGCTCCACCGAGCAGATGCAAGAGCAAGTCTCAGTGCCTGTGTGTTGTCAGACACATCTCGCATCTGTCAGCTGTTTGAGACAGGCTCCATGGCCCTCCCATGCACACAAGGTGACACAAAGTGCCAAGCTGCACTCATCATGGAGATTGCACCTTGTGCAAAGGTGTGAGGCCAACGAAAGAGGAGTGACCTGGGAGCTTGGGGACTGTGCACACTTGTCCATTTATTGGAATATGGGCATCCCCAGGCTGCTCCAGGATGGCCTGTGCAGTGTGATGACAGTTGTTAGGATGCAACATGGTGCATGCAGCTGAATCAAGCAAGGAGCCGCGCAGCCGTAAGGGCTGGTTTTGGTAACAAAGCGAGCACAAAATGGCCAACCCATGCCCCCCAATGAAGTGACTCGGTCACCAAGCACTGTCACCTCCAAGTGCTTGTGGCATCCATTGATGAACGAGGCAGTACCTGGGATGCTTGGCCCGCTTAGAATTGCAAAAGCTGATGGGCGTCAAAGGCAGTATTCCAATCAACAACGCACCCAATTGGTTGCTTCCAACAATTCCAAGCTCATCGAAGGTCGCTGCAGACCGCGCTGCAGGAAACCGCGAAAATGGTCATCATCACCATGATTTCTATACAACACTACAGGGAGATTGTAGAAATCGCAACGGGCCAGATCTGTTGTGTTCGCGCCAGGTTGTCGCAGCACGGAAACCGGTCGCCGGTCGCCCGAGGCGATGACGACAAGTTTGCAAAAATGAATGATGATGACGACACAACCATGAGGCGCTGATTGGTCTCCGACGGCATTCCATTGCAGGGGAATTTCGACCCCTCATCCCGCCAGTCTTCTTTCCATCCGGGCCCCCTCCCCGCCCCAAAACCGGCCCAGCCCACAACAAAAGCGCCAAATCGTCTCTGGCGCCCAGGCACAGGCCCCAAGTTCCCAGCCCCCCTCTTCACCCAATGATGCGCGAGGCCTCTTGCCAGCAGCCGCCGGCAGCAGCCTGCCCGCAGCGCCGCTCGGCCAAGCAGGCGGGCCGGCCCCTCCCCGCGGGGGGGGGCCACCTGGGGTCCGCCGCTGCCCGCAAGGACGCCAAGGCGGGGGCCTGCTGCGTCAGTCGCGCCGGCTCCGGCGTGAAATTCGTGCGCAGCAGGCTGGTGCGGGGGGGCTACGTCGGTCGGCCGCGGCTGTTCACACGGAGGGCGTTCACCAGCGCGCGGAGCGCCAGGGCTGCCGGTCAACGCTGCCAGGCAAGGGCGGACACCGACGGGGGACCATGCAACCCCGGACATCCCCCACGACGGCATGATGAGACACAGACCCCTGCGCCATGCACTCAAGATGATGGGAGCCAAATAACGGTGTCCGCCCGATTGCTGTTGTTAGCTGGGTCCAAACATCGCCACCGTTCATTTTTAGAGAACAAGGCAAGGAGGCAGCAGTCAGCTTCCTATTTTTGCTGGGTCCAAACACGGGGCGCGATGCTGCTGCCCTCGCCCTCGTCCCAGCTGAGCGCGCCGATGACGTCACCTTTTGAGCCATGACGCTGGCGGCTCTCTGAAACCAACCACCCAATGCGCGAATTCCCGCATGGGTGCGTGTGCTGACGTTTAACTGCCATGCCTGTTGCACGATCAGAAACACACTTTGGTGGACCTCTCGAAGCTCAAGGTGAGCCACGGCGCGCATCTGGACGGTGGCCCAGGCTTGGCTGTCGGTGCTCGCGCTAAGCACATTGCTACCCCGCTGGCTCTTAGGTCGTGGCTGCCAGACAGCACTGACGCAAACACTGTGTAGTCTACAGTCCGTCTGTTGCTTTGCGCCCTTTGTTTACCTCAAGGGCTGGACCCCTCAAGGACTGGACCCAAATACACTCAGCAGATCATCCATAGCGCGCACAACAAAATGCGTCAGATACTTCTCAGCGTCGATCCGACCCTTTCCAGGCATGCATGCTTCCATGATGTGACACACAACATTTCAGGATGGTGCCTGGCCGTTGGATCAACACACTCTGATTCCATCGCAGAGCAGCTCCCTGAGGAAGTACGTCAAGGTGTTTGGCCTCAAGGACATCAACGTGTACAGCAGGAAAGAAGACCTCTGTCGTGCAGTGAAGCGTCACTTCGCCGCCCAGGTGACGCTCCTGAACATGACGAACATTTTGGGGAACAATTGCTCCGTGACAGGCCAGCAGCAATTGCCCCCTGCAACTCATCACATTCCCTCCGGGTATCAGAGGCCAGAAATGCGCGGGTAAAACCCTGCTGCGACGAGTGCATACTCATGGGGTGAATCCTGTCGCTGTGGCTACTCACTATCTTGGGTGTGGGGTTCTATGCGCACGAGAGGTGAGGGAATGCCGTCCAGAACAGCTGTCCAGGTGTGCCAGCAGGGACATTCGCCGCTTCCGCTGCAATCCCTGTCATCCTGTGCACACTCAACTTGGGCAGCCCTCCACAGAAGAATTTCTCCCAAATTGCACAACAAAGGCAATGCCAAATCAAGCAGTGACAGTGACAAGTTTGCACTCGCGGTTGTCTTGCCAATGTCCCCAGGTAGTGGACGAAGCTGATGTCATGCGGCGAATCGTCGCCATGAGGAAGCTCGGCCATCAACCGAAGATGGGAGTGCGGCGGCCCTGAAGTAGGCAATGGCTTGGGGTGACAGCCCCCACGCCTCAGCAATGAGCCACTGTGGAGGCAGCGGAGGCAGCGGCAGCCCATGGCGACCAACAAGGCCTGCACGCGGCATCCCTTCCACACGCAGATCGTCGCTGCGGGTCATCAGCGTCCCTGAGGAGACCAGCAGGCTTGCACGCAGAGCACAAGGTTAAGATAGGGCGCTCCAGGGAGTTGGCTACCTTTCCACTGAAGGACGAATGTCAAGCAGGCCTCTCGCAAGCAACGCAGGGGTCCTGCTCAGAGAAAAACACTGTGGCGCACAGTTGTGACGCCCCCTGCACAGATTGATCTTGTGTGCCACGTGCACCACCATAGTCGCACATGGGGTCGCGACAGCTGCGTTGGGATGTGCACCAAGATCGATTGATGCCTGTTGATAAAGGGAGGTTCGATGATTCTACACACAGTACCTGAACTTATATGCAGAAACAACATGATACGATCACCGCCCAGACACCAGCTCTGCTGTGTTGAGATCGCCTGTGGACGCCATGATGCAAAAACCTGCAGTCTGCAAACAACACACAGCTGGAGCCTTCCATGAGGACACCTGGAATAGGCATGATGTCAGGCTGCCACAATCAGCAACCAATGATGAAATCACAAGACATTGAGTGCAGTCTGTGCGTATACGTCTCCATCAGGACATCGCTACACATCATTAACACACATGTCAACAGAATGACACAACTGACTCGCACAGACAGCCAATAATTGCCAACCGACAAGGCCAGACCAAAATTGACAATATTCAACCTACCTTGGACAGCAGCGCCACAGGACTGTTGTCACTGGGCCTTTCAAAGTTCCCTGCATGACATGTTCTATTGCTGAACACCTCCATGAAATGTTTCCCACTGTCACTGCTGCTTGAGGACGCTGTTCCGGCCCTGGCACATCATCAAGCCTCGCTGAACAGCCACATGGTGTTTCTGGAATGGAATCCCACAGCAACCTGTGTGGCCATGGTGCAGCCAGTGCACGGGAGGCCTGCATCTTCGTTTTGCCAAAATCTGTCAATCAACACTCTGCCTTTGAGCACATGAATCCTGTGGCAGTCGTCGTCTATGGTTGCAGCAGGAGGACGAGCTCAAGATGGAGGACAACATTCCATCGCCAGCGACTCCCCAGGCACATGTTTTGGGGTGCAGTCCGGCATGGTTTGGGCGTTGGGGCTTTGCCCAGACTTGGGCCTGGGACTGGGCCCATTAAAGAAGCAACGAGGGTCACGTGGTGCATCTTCTATCGATCCATAACTGTTGCCTTTCTGTTGCCCAGCACGAGGCGTTAATTGACCAGAAGAGCACATCTGCTGGTCTGTTCCCTTCAGTGGCTGAAGTGGCCCAGCATGAGGGATTCATCGACCATGAGCGCATCTGTTAGTCTGTTCCTGTCGGTGGAGGAAGGCGCCCATTCCTGCACTGAGGCCGTCATCCTATGCTGTGTGTCAGTCACAACCTGTTTGTGAAAAGGACACCCTGCACAGAGCACTACTTGGGATACGTCCCAGTGCAGTTGCTGTGCATGGAGAACAGGGGGTGACTGTGACTTCACCCCACCCTGTACAAGTAACTCCAGGACGATCATCCCCATAGGATGCATGGAGAATTCTGGGAAGTGCCAAAGCAGTGCCTCATTCCGATCATCTGTACGGATATCTGGTGTATGTTGACCAGCGTTGCTGCGGCTTCTGCAGAGCATGCATTGCTGTTGTTGCCTTTCTCTATAACAGAGAGACTCAATGATCTGCATCATATGCTCAAGCCACAGACGGTGTTGGACAGCACTGAACGTTGGCAAAGTGTTTTCCAGCCACACTGAAATTGATTCGAAGAGGAAGGCCCCAGTCGTCAGAGGCCAAAGAAGACAGGAAGGCTTTGTCAATTGATGGCACCTCCTTTGCTCAATCATGTACTGCTTGATCTGTAGACTTGGCTCTGACTGCAGCAAACGTTCCACCACTGGTTGCTGTACCTGAGGAGCTTCATGGAGAAATCGAAAATCTGGACTGGAAAACATGGTGGGCATCTTCACTGTTGACAACTGTTCTCTCTGCCAAAGAAAACTCTGTAATGATCTGCCTCTGCCTTGAAGGTGCTATTACCTGATGTGCGGCATCGGATCCAAGGGATCGTGCAGCAGCATACTGAAACATCTACGGACGGTGAACACTGCCTGCACCAGAAAACCGTTTGCCACACATGCTCCCATTCTCCCAGCATGGCTTCTTTACCTGGCATGGTACCACAGCTAACATTGCAGAAAACAGCCTTGAGGACAGGTAGGGAGACTGCTTGAACTGCCTGCCCTTCTTGCAGTATACCAAATCATCAGCGCACCTCTCTGGAGTGGCATCTCCTCTTCCGGTCGCCTGCTTCATGCACCACAATGAATATGGAAGCTGCCAAAGTCTGCAACGGCCTTCCCTTCTTCAGCAGTCGAGAAGGGGCAGAGCGACTTTGTATAGGCAGTGCACTCTCTGTCGATGAACCTGTTGAACCTGTTGAAGCGACTGCCACTTCTGTTCTTTTCGCGTTTGGGGTGGATTTTGACGTCACAGACAGAATGCTGACTTACACCAGCTACCTTGGTCCATATGCTCTGTCCAAACTGTTTTGAACTGAGCTTACAAGAAAGACATCTGTCGTCCGCCCAAGGCATTCCCATTCACCCCAACCTGGGCCACTGGCTGGTGAATGTGCAGCTGCCACCTCTGCTGCGCCCATACATGCCAGCACCTTGCATGCAAAAAAGGCTCTAATACTGGGTACACGTCTGCAATGCAGATTCTGCAGGAAGTCAGCCTCTGCAAGGCTGCCTGCGGTCCTCTTGTGCCACTTAATCCTGATCATCATGCCGGTCCTTTGGGGCCACCACCCTCTCTGCCCTGTCCTTAGATGGCGGATCCAGCCTCTCCACCTTCCTCCGCTTCTCAAACCTATCTGTCTTCTCGAACCTGTCTGCCTTTTCAAAAGGTGCTGGCCTCAAAGGGGGCCGTTTCTCCAGCCTGTCAGACTTCTCATATGGGGCAGGCCTCAGGGGAGGCCTCACAACATCCCGACGCCTGTCTGGGCCACCAGCACGTGGGGGAGGCAGTCGACCAGGAACTCTGTTAGTCCGGACTGGTGGCCTCTCGGATCTTACATCACGCGCTGGCATCAACCTGGGAGCACGATCATAGTCTGCAGCATATGATCTTCCGTCCTCAGCTGTCCTCCCCACCACCGTTTGCCTCCCCACAACAGTCGATGCCCCCACCGCTCCTGACCTCCCCACAGCTGCTGGCCTTCCCACGACTGTGGACCTCCCCTCTGTTGTGTAGGCCCTGCCAGTGTCCTCGTACCTAGTCTCGTATTCTGCATACTCCACGTTTGCATCGTAGTACTCATAGGCATCTGCAGGATACTCGCTGTCCAGATACTCTTGCCGCTGGGCGCTGTAACTGCCGCTGCACACGCACAAAAGGGCGCAAATCAAGGTCAGCAGCCAGCCCATCACATCTCAGGTCACTGCTGGGTCCAAACTGTCCAGCATTCATAACTGCATGCTTGTCCTGATGCAGCTGGAGAGTTCTGTTCCGCCTTTCTCAACCTGAAAGGAACTCGGCTCTTGTGCGAGCAGCGGGGTGCCCATCACACGGCCGGCTTCTACTTTCAACACCAGCTTTGCCCGTTGAGCAAGACAGCAGGGCATGGCCAGCGGCAAGGGAACAGCTTCTACACGAGGCATTGCAGCGGACCCACCTCTTGTGGTGAGATTGCGTGTACTGCGGCTCCTGTTCATATCTTGCATCCCTGCGGCAGAATCCAGCATTGAGGAAAATTCACCAAACCCCGCCGTCCAAACATGCACAAAGAGCACACCCCCAATCAGCCGCTCTCCCCCCGTTCAGGCAACGTTCATGGCGCCCAGAGATCCCCGTCGAGCAGGCCCGCAGCCCGCACCTGGAGTAAGTGTCGTAGCCCCGATCGTAGGTGTACTCGTCCGCGGCGTAGGACCTCTCATACGCATCCCGCCCCCCGTACGCGTCCTTCTCGGCGCGAACGGTCTCTCCGGTCGGGCGGACCTCGTACACGTAGTCGTTGTACTCCCTCCTGGGCACCCTGTCCTCCACCCTGGGGTCTCGCCTGTAGTACCCGCCCTCCCTCCTCGGCACCGCAGACGCGGCAGCCGGGCGCACGCCGTTGCGCGCATCCACGTACCTCGCATCCCTCCCCACCGTGTACGGTTCCCTTCGGAGGGGCTCCCGCCGCACTACGTAGCCCCCGGCTCGCTCCCCCCCCTCGCCGAAGTCCCGTGCGCGGTCGCGGAATGGATGCGGGTGCTGCTGGTCCTGGGGTATGGCGTGGCGCACGCTGATGGTCCGGCCGTCCACCTTGGAGTTGTGTAGGCCCCGGATGGCGTCCTCCATCGCCCGCTTGTCGGGCAGCGTCACGAAACCGAAGCCGCGCGGGCGGGAAGTCATCCGCTCGCGCATCACCGTGGCGTCCAGGGGGTGGTAGCGCCGAAACACTGCACGACGCAGGCGACAACAATGCAGCCAAGGCACGAGACTTCCCACCAGAAGAAAGTTCCACAGCATCTGCAGGAGAGGCCGGAATGGGTCCTCAGCCCCGGCGCTCGCCTCCGGGGGCGGTGGCCGGCGAGGCGCGGCCGAGCGCGCAGGTCGGAATCTTGCGTGTGAGCAAAGCTTCCTTGCCGTTACCCACCCGCCTCCACCACCTTCGCCACCGCCGCCAGCGACACGCAAGGCATTTCCGCGGCCGGATCCCCTTACAGGCGCGAGCCCCCAAGTCACGAAGGGCCGCGCGGAACGCCCCAGCCATTCCCGACGACAGCAACGCCCGCGGCCGAGCCATCCAAGTGCATCGTGCCGGGGCGGCCGTCGCGCGCCCGAGCCCAGAACTCACGATCTTTGAGCCGCCTCTCGTCCACCGTCTGCGTGATTCCCCCGACGAACACCTTGCATGGCTCCACGCCGTTCTCGTCGTCCTCCCTCTTACGGACCCTCCCGCCCTTGGGGGCCACCAGGTGATCGGCCCTGCCCCGCATGTCGTCCCTCGCCTGGTACCGCGCCAGAGCTGCAATCCAAAGCCCGCGAGCGAGCTCTCAAGGCGGGGTGGGGGGTAGGAGAGAGCAGGCGGGCCGGCACTGCGCGGCGCCCGGTCGCAGCGGAGCTCGCGGTCCTTTCAGCTGGGGGCAACTTGAGTGTGTGGGGCGTCCAACACTGCGCGAACATGGCAGCCTGGACGCCCTGGCAAGCGGCAAAACTACTGCCGCAGATGGGCGCCTGTACACCGGTCGCGGGTTCACAACGGCGCCATTATGCGACGCCCAGCCCCCGTAATGGGCGCATCTGGGCCAGGATGACCTGCGGCGCTCCGGGCCCTACTCCCAGACGCGCACGCCCTGCCGCTGCGCAAACAGATACTTCCCCCTGCCGGTGCTCCCGCCGACCCCTTGCGTCAGAGCGCCACGCCTCCGCGGCCCCACCTTCTCTGGCGCCCCGAAACTCCTCGACCGTGTTGCGCATTCTGCCATGGCCAGCGAAGGAGGCTCCCTGAAAGGTGGCGTCAAAAATTGACAGCTGCCCATCGGCCGATTTGGGGCTTTCGCTGTCGGTCGCTCCCGCGCTGGCGATGCTGACGATGGGCGGCCCCACGCAGGCGGCGCGGGCGGCGCGGAGGACCACGGGATGGACGGTTCCGCGGCCTCCCTCTCCCGCGAGGGATCCCTTCAGCCGCAATGGATGCAGCACAAGTCGATCGGCGGGGTAGGATGTCCCCCCGCTCGGCCCCCGCCCGCCGTCCCCTGGGTCGCGATTGCCTCCAATTGGCCGCTTCCAGGCATTTGTCGCCGGTGCTGATTGCTCAATCGGGTGTGGCGACAGGGAGGGGGGGGTGGCGTTGGCGGCGACAGCGCGGGAAGGTGGCTCGGGCTGGAATCCCGGCCCTCCGGCGGCGAGCACTGGCAGGGATCCGAGGAGGCGGGAAACTGGGCGGGCGCGGAGCAGGAGCGGGACAGCGCCCGGGGGCGGTGGGAGGGCCGGGAGGACGGCGCGCCGGGCGGCCGGACCTCGAAATGGCGCAGCGACGATCGGGAGACATGGGCGCCCGCCAAGGACAGGTGGGGTGGGGTGGGGGGGGAGGCACAGGGCGAAATTTGGATTCGATGGGCGCATTTTTGGGTGCTGATTTGGTGGAGGTGTGGGTAGGTGGACGTCCGCACAGGACGGCAGGCGGTGGGTGGATCCTCCGGGCCAGGGGCGGCAGAATCGGAGTGACCGAGGTGGGTGGGATGCACCGTTGGGCGTGCGCGCTGAAGTGGCTCGTGCTGTTTCCCAGTGGGTCACTATGGTGCGTGTGGGGCGTGCAGATCATTGGGGCAGCACCGAGGCGGGCGGGCTGTCGAGGAGCTATGGGGACAGGTGGGACACCGACGGGGACCGGTGGAAGGCGAGCGACAGGGACGCGTACGTTCCGAAACACGACTACGTGCCGAAGAACCCGCGCTGGAACGATGAAGGTAACAGGCTGCTCCGCTCTCTGGCCGCCTGAGGACATTGCTGTCAAGCCTCGCTCAAATTGTTGCTGTCTCCTTGTCCTGGCTTTGTTGCTCATGGGTGCATCTCTCGGCTGCGTTGCAGAGAGGGGAGACCGCTGGCGGCCTGCGGGAGGTAATCGCTGTGCTGGATTCTGGTGTGCTGGTTGCTTTCGGTCCACAAGGCCGCTGGATGCTGATTTGTGATTGTTGCTGCCAGTGGCTGTGCGCACAGAGATCCAGCCTCCAAGAGGCTTCACAAACCAGCGCAGCCGTGGTGAGTCGGCTTGGATGCGACAGATGCACCTGTTTATGTGTGACACTGCCCAGCATTTGGTCGAACAAGCCTCTGTCAATTGCCAGCAGCTGTGCATGTATTTTGAATTTCATGCAGTGGAGCTGCACCCTCTTGTTGCTGGTCATTGTGTGAAGCACTCTAGTATTATAGAACCCCTGCTTTTTGGCTTCCCTGCTTTCTAGTATGTCAGAGTTCCCTTCGAGTCATGGAGAGTAGATTGGGGATATGTATGGTATTGTGGGACCCAGGTGCGGTGACGGACTTAATTCTGGCTTCCCAATGCTCACCATTGTGACAATCTTTGGGGTTGTGGCATATCTCTTGTTGTGCACATTGTCACAATCGCCTTGGTTTCATAGCAGGAGCAGCAGGGGGGCTGCCCTACAGAAGCGAGCGCGATGGTGGAGATGGAGCATCGTTGCCACCGCACATGAAGACCCATTCCCATTCCAAATTGGCAATCGGAAAGTACAGCAAGAAGCAGTTGTTGGATATATATGACACCATGCTGCAGAAACTTGGGTCCTGCTTGCCCATGCCCGATGAGGCTGAAAAAGACTACCCTGGGCTCCTCAAAACTGAGTACGACCAGCCACACTCCATAAGGCTCAGGCAGAGTGGCAGGCTAGGCGAGGAGGATGACAATGAGGAGCCTCCTCTTGGAAGAAGCGTGGGCCGGGATTCCGCGAAGGATGACAGCCTCCTGTCCTTGTTAATGAAGGGAGGCCCCAGTTCAGGGATAAGCAAAGAGGACATTGATACAGACCAGTGGATGTACCAGGACCCGGATGGGAATGTGCAGGGACCATTTGGAAAGGAGGACATCTTGAATTGGTGGGAGGAAGGGTTCTTCCCAGAAGACCTGCCTGTGCGGTCTGCCCGTTGTGGGAACAATGACTTTGTGCCGCTGAGGCAGCTCTTGAAGATGTGGAACCCACCCCCTGGCTTCAGGATACCAAGGCAAACGTCCCTGTCGTCTCGGGCCTCTTTGAGCAGGGTTGAGAGCACTGGGCAGTCATCCAACCAGCACATGGGCCAGGCACCATTGCAGAACACGACACTGAGCACAGGAGTCGTCAGTGACTTCAGAAACATGGGCTCTTCACCACCCCCTGCGCCTCAGCCTGAGCCTCGGATCTTACCTCAAGCACCAGACCAAACCGCTGGCCGTCTTGGCTCCCAGGGGGGCTGGCAGATGCCTGATCTGGGCCTGGTGGAGCAAATTGGCCAGCGACCATCTCTGGAAGGGCATCCTTTCGACCGGGTCGGGCAGTCACTGGCCATGCTGAACCTGCACCATTCCCTAGGATCCTCAGGTCCACCGTCCAATTCACAAGGACTACCACTGATGGGGCACGTTGGCGAGGCACCCATGCCCGCCTACAATCCCATGGTGGGTCTTCAGCAACAGGCAGGCCTTCAGCAGCAGGCAGGCATGCCTTATGGTACCCCTCCCAGGCAAGGGGCCCACTCACTGGCTGGGCCGATGGGAGACCCCCCCCTGGTGCCGTACCCTTCGCATGAGATGCCCTTGCACCAGCTCGATGGCCTGCATGGCATCCCTGGGCCTTCAGGCCGCCACCGACCAGGCATACCACCAGATCAGTCAGCACAGGACATATTCAACATCGACATGGGAATGGATCAGCAGGGCGGTCGCGCTCCACTTAACATGCAGCACTTGGGAGGCCCCAATTTGGGCGGGTTCCCTCCACAGGCCCAGAATCCAATAGGACGGCCAGGTGCCATGTCTCTTGACACTCATGTTCTGCTCCAAGGAGTGAGGAATCCTGCACAGGCTCACATGGCCAGCGGAGGATTGCAGCAGCCAGGGGGTGCATATTACAACTCTCCATATCACATCCCTCCACCGGGACCCCAGCCACCCCAGTGGGGAGTGACAGATGGGGCCCTGGCCACTGGGCCTGTGCCAGGCCCTGCTGCAGGCGTGGCCGCCAGTCCTGCTGCTTCGATCCTGAATGCCACTCAGCAAGGTTGGGAGTCCCGTTCAAGCACGAGTGCCGGGCCCCATATCCTGGCTGGCATGCCCATGATTGGAGCAGGGGAGCCCAGTCAGAGCTCTGCAGATGGTGTAGGAGGTGCTGGGCTGCTCCCCCGAGCTCCTCAGCTTAGTCAGGAGGTGAGCTCTGCTCTCCATATCGGGACTGCTGGCCAGAAAAGCAGCAAGGACACAGACCAGTCCACGGTGGATGATAGTGTTTGGAGCCAGCTGCTGCAGCCTGGAACTCGACCAACGACAGCACCTGTGCAACCTCCAGCTTCACCCAGAAGGAAAGCCTCCCCAGCGCCACTTCCCAATCAGAGTCATGGTCTGCCAGCAAACTTGCCCATGACAAGTGCTGTCGCACCTGTGGCAGCACCAACAACAGTTGCACCCTCAACAGGGAGCAATGCCTCAAGAATGATGCCAGATCCAAAGAAGAATGTTGCCAACAGCACAGCATGGGGTGCTCGTACAAATCACTCAGGTGATGGAATGGGAGACAAGGCTCCTGTCCACTGGTGTGGGTGCATTTCCTTGAAGATTTAATCTTCTTCTGCGAAGTGTTTCAGATTGGGAGTTTTGTCATGTACTAAATGGCAGGTGTGCTTCTGTCAGGCTGCTTGTGGGCATCGGTATCATCAGATAGTCCCACCTACATGACACCACCCGTGTGTCCGGTGCTACAATCTTCAAATGCAACGTTTGTCCTTGTTGAGTGCTGCTGTACTTGAAGTGTGCAAGAGTCAAGGACAGTGGTTGTCAGTGCGAGAGCTTCGCCTAGCTGTGGTGTTTGTTGCTTCCAGCTGCGTCAAAACTCAGTTGTTTGCTTCATGGACGAGCCCACTGCAGATTGTCATTTTCACATATGCGTTGCCAGATTGTGTCTCGCCTGCAGCTTTGTGTTTCGTCCAGGCAAGCAGTCTGGTTCTGACTCTCTTGCTGTCTGCATCTCCTTCCAGCTCCATCCCTTCGACAGATACAAGAGCAGGAAAAGCAGGAGGCTGAAGCGGCTATCCATGAGCCTGAACCCCCACAGGCCCGGCAGGCAGCCCCACCCGTTGCAGGAAGGACTGGGGCTCCTGGACTAGGGGGTTGGTCTGCTCAGCAACCAAGGTCCAAGCCACAGGCCAGTCTTCGAGATATTATGGAGGCGGAGACTCAGGCTGCTGTGCAGGCAGCAGCAACTCTCCCACCTCAACCTCCACAAAAACAACAGTCGAAACCTGTCAAGGCAGGCCAACCGCTGTCTAGGTGAGTAGGAAAAGGGCAGTGGTGGGTACCTTGTGGTGAATGCTGACACCATCTGTGATGTCGTGCTTGTGTGCACCATATGTCCATGCAACAAACCCCCAAGGCACAGGGAACATGAAGCCAAAGATGTTGCTACGAAGTGAATCCCAAACACGTGCGTGTAGTGTAGCATGGGCCTGGCCCTGTTGGTTTCCCTTGTCGCTGTCTCTTTTCACCAAGTAGCCATTTACCAAAGTGCGTGCCTCCCAAAGTTTTCTCCAACAAAGAAGGAAACTAATTTTGTGTGTCCTTGCACTATCTATCTTTCCAACGCAGTGTGTATCTTTGGCTTTTGTGTAAATTTTGGTCAAATACATAGACAAGTGTCATCTATAAAGTAAGCAGATACCGTAGTATACTCAACATTTCTGCATGGTAATGTGTAAGACTTGGCCTTTTTTTGGAGAGAAAACAATATAGTAAATAACGCTCTTTTGATACAATTTTTACAGAGCAACGAAAGAAAATGGAAATTACACTATGGGGACAAAAATGCTGATCACAAAGCATAGCAGTAAAATCTTCTGATGTGGAAGAGTTGAATATTGTACAGTAAATGGCGAACACTGAGCACTGGGCACTGAAGCCTTTGCTGCAGAAAGCCTGTGGCTTGGGGTGCGCTGTTGCCTCAATCGCTGCTTTGCAGATTGTGTTGTCTTCAGTACTGTGTAATAGCAGAGAACTTTGCAGTGACTTGACTCTGCAGTGTGCATATTGGTCTTGCATGGGTGTTTATCTGTGGCGGTGATTCCATTGCCATGCCTTAGACATGCCTTTGCTTGCATTTGCCTCTGCAGTTGTCTACAGAGTACAATTGCTGGTGCTGACCAGCCACAGTTCCCATTGGACGCCTAGAACGGACTTTCACCAGTGGATTTTGGGGATATGGCTGTCAAATATGCAAGTGTGCCAGTTTTGGTGCCTGTCATTTGCTCACAGCGACGCTGTTTTGCGACAACTCAACTTGGCCGCCTTCTTCCCTTTCTGCAGGTCTCCACCACCAGCTTGGGGGGGTGCAGTCAACAGGGCACCAGTTTTGAATTTCCGCACTGTGCTTGAGGAGAACGAGAGGGACAATGCCCCAGTGGGCCATGCCAGCTGTCCAGCACCACCGCAGTGGCAGCCACCTAGCAAACAGAGCAAAGCCATTTCCAACGAGGTATTTTCTGTCAGCCGCAGGAGAGGACAGTAGCTTTCAATCAGCTTCAGGTTCAATGGGTATTTTGCAAAACTGGAAGGTGTATTGCAGCTATGCTGGTTTCTCTGCATCCAATGTGCCTGTGTGGCAGTCAGCAGTGGTGGCTGCCCAGAGGGTGTGAGAGCGACATGCTGCTGAGCACTGCCACAGACTCTAATGCACCTCTTCCAGCTGTGCCATACCAAGCAAGTTTTTGTCATCTCGGTTCATCTCAGTTCATCCCAATGCATGCGTGCACGAAAGAAATGAAAGGACTTGCCTGGGGAAAACAGAGCTGTGCCATCAAACCCATTGTATTATCCCAGATGTCAGTGGTTTGGCCTCCACAGCGACCAGGCTGGCCCAGCATACCATAATGACAACCACAGCAGTACTGACTGTGGTTGCTTTGCTGTGCAAGAAATTGTCATCCAAAATGTGTTATTATGCCTATGTCAAGATTTGGGCGATGGAGTTGACTACACTGCTTAAAGTTGCTGGAATGGATGTCCCTGATGGTTGATTTCCCACAACTGAAGGGATGCAGCATCGTTTCCAGTGTGTGCATGGCAGGGCACAGCTCCTGCATTCAGACTACCCAACGGTTCGTGCTCCAGACATGCGGAACAGCAATGCCACTGTCCAGTGTGTGAACACAGAGAATCAAGGGCCTGACTGCAGCCTGTTCCATTTGCATCATCTTGGTCTTGGGTTATTGTGACCAACCCAGAACGAAAATGTGCCAGAATGGCGATCATTTTGGTCTGCTATGATCAGACTCGTGCCCACCCCACCCTACCCCACAGAAGCCACTGCAAGGTCTCAGAAAGTACAGCTCGAGCACGCTTCAGGCTTCCCTGGGCTGTGGCCTGTGTCTTTTCTGGCTGTTTCCTTGTAGGAGCTTGTAGGCCGTTTGTCAAGATACGCATACATTTGGATTTCACTCGTCCATTTTTGCACAATTGGCGTTAGTGGGTCTGCTGAACTGCGGCATGCAAGCTCAGTGTTGGGTGCCTGTGCACTGTTGGGCTATGCTCCTGACACTGTTGTCAACTGAAAGTATGTTAGTGTTGGCTTGTTTGACACTGCAGTGCGTACTTTGAGGTGGCGCCACTGGAATTGCTGTTGACTGACACAGCTGCAGGCGATTGACAGGGTTCCATGCGATGCTTGCAGGCAGCTGAAGGCGACGACTCCCTCTTCTGGGACTACTCGTCTGCCACGCAGGCAAACCCACCCAAGGCATGGGTGTCTTCTCATCCTGGCGTTGGAGCCCCACCCCCAGTTGCGCAACCACCCCAGCAAGCAAACATGGAACATTCCCGTCCAGCAGTGGGCCCTGTGTCTGCAATGCACGTCGCGGCCAATGCCCCAAATGCCTCCCGGACGACCCCAAGGCCTGTGAGATCTGCGAATGCTAACCAGCCTGCAGTGGCTCCTCAACCTGGGGCTGCATCTGAGCAAAGAGGGCCTATGGCCAGGCAGCCTGTAGTCAACGCCCCCCAGGTGGAAATGCCCCAGGTACCTCACTGTGGCCAGGCGCTCCCCACCCCTTCCAGTGGTGTGGGCGAATCAGGCCTGTTTATGGGGCAGTTCAAGATCTCTCAAAGCTTCAGAGGCTGGTGCCAACAGCAGATGAAGGAACTGACTGGAAATGATGACATGGCCCTTGTTGAATTCCTGCTCTCCTTGAAAGGGCGAATGGAGGTCGTTGAATACATTCAGGAGTACTTCAAGGGCGCTCCCAAGGAGCGCGTCACCAAGTTCACAAGGGAATTCATGGTGAGAAAGGAGAATGATGGCACTGCGATAAGGAAGGAAGAGCAAGAAATGCAGAGACGTTTGCAGAGTGCACGGACACAGCCACAAGGTAGAGTCGAAGACAGCACCATGCGAGCACAGGCAAGGCCAGAGGCGTCTGGGGGTGCAGAAGGATCGCAGGCAGGGCATGGAGCTGGCTGGGAGAGGGTCAAAGGCAATAAGGGCAATAAAGCGAAGGCCAAGGCCAAGAAAGGCCAGCCCAAGGGGCAGCAGGTGCCTGCAGAGCTGCTGGGCTTCCGGTCCAACTTTGATGTTCTGGCCAGAGGAATTGACAACTAGCAGAACAGGAGCAGAGTGGCTAAGAAGCCCTTATGGGTGGCTTGACATCGAACAATGGAAAGTAGGTGGGCCTCCCAGCAGGAGATTGGTTTTGGAAATCGGTGTGCATAATTTTTTGGTAGGCGGTGGAGTGTGGGGGTGGGATGGTGGTGCCCAGAGCATGACGTTCTTGGCATGTGATTAGGCACCGCCCCCTGGGGATGGCCTCTGGCGGTGGTGGCAGGGGAACAGTAGGCAGATGGGGAGAAGCTCGCACTTGAGTGTATTTCAGAAGTAGCTGATAGTCATGGGCCATCTTCATTGTAACAACTGCTATTGGAAGCGGGTGGCAACCATCAAGCTTTGATCTTATTGCGAGTCACAATGGCAGCTTTTTGTTCGACGATTGCATACGGACCTTCTTCTTTTGCATGCTGTAGGCGGAGGATACTCTCTTCAGCCCTTGTGAAGATAATGTTTCAGGCAGCGCCTGATCTAGCACCACGCCCCACATGCATCGTACCCCACAAATCCACGATCAAGGCCGCCTACACCAAGACATACACTCCCAAAACATGTGCAACCAAAGAAACTATGTGCCCTGTGGCCTCCTAGGGCAATGAAATTGACCTCGCCAAGCTTCTTGTTCTTCATCTTGAGACGATCTTAAACTGGCTTTGCAAGTCTGGACGGCGGCCCACGCTGCGCACACACAATCCTCCAATTAGCCGGAGGCGATCCATCCCATAATCTGCAGGGCTGTTCGCACACAGCGGTCATGATCCTTTTAAGGGCGCTTAATGCTCTAGGTCAGAGCCGTGCCTTTGCCCCCTTGCCCAAGAGGGCAGAAGCCCTGAGGCCTAATCCCTTGGCTTTCATGTCGCTGAGACACGGTTTCGTTGTATCCCCTTGTTAAGGCTCTCGTTGTCTGCTCTCAGGTTCCATGGGTCCCTAGATCTGCCTTTGCGCCGGCATTCAAGCTCCTTGGGTTTTGCGGTTTTACAATATCACGCCTTTACAGTCCACCAATGTTGCATATCTACAGAGCCGCATTGTCAATGCGCGGTTGGACCATGTCGTCAGCCTCTGTTCGTCACGCTGCTGCCACTGGCCTTTACATGCTCATTCAGCCAATGCAATGATTGCATCGGTTGTTAAACATCAACTGTAGCGCATGTGGGCCTACATTATCAATGGCAGTTAATCGTGCTGACTGAGATTTGATTGTGTGGTCTACAAAGGCACTTGCAAGCTGGGCACCAATTGGTGCCCAACAAAAGGGATGCCTCTCGGAACAGAAGATTAAACAAGGCTTTGAAGTAACAGCCGGTTTCCCAGGAGCTCCCGCAGTTGCAGTGTCTCTTTGTCAGATCACCATAACCCATCATCATGCCAGTCCTGTTCGGGCCGCCAATTAATGGGGCTCATGGAAAAGCTAGTGAAATAATGACATCACTCAGCTGGCGACCCGAGGGGTCCAGATCTGACGGCCACCTCATTGCCTTGTTCTGTAAAAAATAATGCTGCTGCTGCTGCTGATGATGAGGAGGTCCAGATATGACGCAGAGGGGATGTCGACTGCCTTACCACCTCCGCCTCACTGATCATCATCAAGCAGTTTGGCGCTCAATGAGGTGGAAAACCCCAAAGTATCAGTCAGGCATGCTACATGGTTTTCTAGTATTGCGAGCTCAAGGCACTCAGAGTGCTGGGAGGTGACTTCGATGACAAAGATAGACTACGGCAACTTCACCATACGCCCAAAGAGTCCACTAGGATACTGTAAAGATGCTGAGCACAATGCCAATACGTGGCAGCGCATCACACGGAGACATGAGTCAGGCACGCCCGGAAAACGCCTTGGAGTGCTGAGGAGAACCCAGGTTGCCATGGGACGCATGCGCTTGCTTACGGGCTGCCCGACTAATGGTCTGCCATGGACCGCAGCGAGTTGGAGCCACGTGGTTGTTTGATGGGAATATGCCACGTGGGGCATTACGTGGTTGCTGACCGCGGGAAATGTGGCTGTTTGATGGGAATGTGGCCCTTGGGGCATTACGTGGTGGCTGATTGCGGGCAATGGGGTGTACCGGGTTGAGTTGCGGTGAAACGACGTGTGTGGCAGAAAGATTCCGGGTATCAAAAGAGCATCTCTTATGAATGGGGGGCATTTGCCAGATCTTGGGGGGCCACAAGTACTGGGGGCGTGGCGAAAGCTGCAGGGAAATATGCATTGTTGCAGTCGGCCTGGCAGCTGCAAGAATGGTTGCGCGGCTTTCGCATGTACCTCTCGCGGCGGTCTGGGCACTCAGCGTGGCTGCCTGACTGCCCTGGCCGTGTGCGCAACATTCGCCACGGCCTGAACACAATAGCGCTCGACCTTTTCGAAGGTCGCGGCCAGTCTGCCTTTTCCGAGGCGCTTTCCTTGCCGTTCAATACCAGCACTGCCAGTGCGGGCGTGCTGCTGGCCAAAAGTGACCAATCTTCGTCGCTGCACAGCTTCTTCGAGGGGAAAGAAGCATCTTTCGTGTATTGTATCGCTACGCTGTGGACAAGGCTGCCCCGACCCGTGGGGTTGACCTATGCCCTGACCTCGCTAAACTTGGGGAGTTGCTGCGTCCGGTTGTGGCCCTCTGGGGGGCAGTTGTGAGAGGTTGCACGCTTGACGTTCAATTGGATGTTTGCCGCTCGTCTGAAGCTTCCCTTGCCGTCGCTGCTGTTTTTGTTCGTTGTCATCGCCGCGACAAGCAATTCTTCGCGAAGAGCCGGTTCGCGCTGTGTGCACCCTCAACTGGCGTGGGTCGACGTGGCTCAGCTGCTCGTTCAGGGGTGATTAGACTGTTGTTGAAGGAAATGCCGTTGATGCAATTCAAACGGCCCCCTTTGGAGTGCACACGGGAAGCGCGAATCCACGATCGCCGATGCTTCAACGGGTTGGCGCACGGCCAGACGCAAGGCCACGTCACGCACAAAACGCCCAGGGCTTACATATTTGTTCACCCTTCCCACAACGAAGAGCCTTGCCGACGGCGGCAACGAACCCCGCACCCGAACAGTTCGAATCTTCTTGCACCCACAGAACTTTCCTTTTCATGTGACAAGGACCATCATCCATCATCAACCAGCCATACCGCACTTCAGAGATGCCCATTCATCACCACAATGCAACCCACTTCATAAAACATATGTCAAAGGTGCCCATACACTCAGTGTTGATGCACAAATATGTACAAGTCGCACACCATAATGCATAAGTGATCCACCCAGTGAAACGGTGGTCATTATGCGGTGTTGCAAACACTGTGCTATCTCCGGGGATGACGGCCAGAATGGACCGCCGTCCTTTACAGTCCATGATCACTGCACTGGCTCACGCTTCGGGCTGTGCGTTTGCCAGACCCCAACTTGGGAGCATTCTCTGGCGCAATGCACCGCTGTACTTTGCATGCTGCCTTTGCGTTTCAATGCTGCCACGGCATTATGACAGCTGCTGCTCGCCAGAACTGTTGGAAAACCTGATTCACCGGACAACATCCCCGATTCCATCCTTCCACTCACTGGGAGCACAGGCAAACACAATCTTGCTACGCTCGCCAGCTTTCTCAAGGCTTCTGCTGCGTGACTCCCTCCCTTGCCCTGGATATCACAATGAGCGTCGAGTGACTAAAGCACCTGCTCCGAAGCGAACGCATCAAGGACTCGGCGCAGGTGCATCCCACAGCACAAAATCGTGCAGTGCGCATATCGGATATTCACATTGCGAATATCCCATATGCGCATTGCGCTCTGCACGTGCGCAATGGATGTTGTCAAGAGTGCAAGAAGGGGATGTGGCCCTTCTGTCGGGACGCAACATACTATGAACTGCTTCGCCCACAGTCCTATGTAGCACTACTCGCGCTGCCTGACAAGGACAGCGTGAACGTCCCCAAGACTCTCATATGATAGCAAGGATCCTCGAAGCAAGGGCTATGGCGCAGGCATTCGCAGGCGATTGTGACACGAGCGTCTGCACAAATTGAGCGCTGGGAGCTGGAGCTTTACCTGTGGAAGGACAATGCATTGGCCATATGGCCGATGATGTCAGCCTGTCAAGACCTCGGATGCCTAAAAGAGGGCCAAAAGAGAAAGCAGTGGCCTCAAGCCATCGATGGCTCCCATGGAGTCAGCAAGCAGCCTCACAGGCAGCTCTGCATGTGAGTTAAGCCCCGCAGGCAGCCCTGCTTGTGACTTAAGCCTCGCAGGCTTGCTTACCTGAGTGAAATCGATCACAATTCTCCTGCTAACAACAGCGCCGAGCGCGAACACTTTTCTTCATTTTCACAACCATACGTCTAGACTTGCTGTTTCGGCGGGGTTCTTGTGGTGCGAATAAGCAGATCTACCTATTTGTATCCCAAGAACCCTCACCAACAAGAAACGCCGATACAAAAAGTGACAGCCACATGCTAACGGATGGTTGAGGCACATCCAGCACTCAAGATATCCAACAGACACCCTTTCGCACGGAAATGAAATTCAACATCTTGCCAATGGGTTTCTGCCGACGCGGCGCGGGGTGGGACTCCGATTCTGTTTGAATTGACTTGCGCCTTTGCATGGCGTTCCTGCACCCACCCTTTGTTTTCCATCCATCACGTACATCATGCCAATGAATTTTCAGGGCGCCCCAATATGTATTGTGTGGCAGGCTTCGGAAGGGTCGAGATTATCGAGACCCTATCCAATGTCCCCACCTTGTCTTGTTTTCGCACCTGCCCAACCCGCATGGAGAGAAACAGGAATGGCGGGATTTAGGATGGGTGATTAGTGCTGGGTGAGGAGTGGAGTACGGGATTTGGGAATCTTCCGTTTATTTATGGCGTTGAACACCTATTTTTTGGAAATGCCTTTGCCGCATGTGAGCAATTGAGTTCGCCAACTCGAGTGGCAAGGTGGGAGCCAGTGCGGAGCTTGGGCCGCTACAGCACAAATTCTCCGCCAGCACCAAGAACAAAACAGCAGATCGAGGGCAGGGGGGGTCTAGTCTTTTAGCTGCAATCCATTGTTCAAACACTGCATTTTTGACTTCTCCAATTGTCGTCACCCCATACCTCGAGATTGTGAATTCTAAACTACAGGTTTAGGAAATCCATGGAAACAACGTGATAAGTAAACAGCGATCGAAGTAGTGGTAAATCACTGAAAGGGACCCACAAGTTTTCCACAGACTCGTTGGAAAGACGCTCTAGCAAATGCATTGGCATACCTGATACTTCTGGCTTTGAAAACTCTTACAGATTCAAGCACATGCCGTCTGAAACACACGATTATGTGATCGACAGGGCCTCCCACAAACAACCAATTTTGGCCAAACGATTCCCAAGCTCTGCTAAAGAAAAAAAATCAGCTTTCAGAACCTCCAAAAATTGTCCTTTTTTTCTAATTTCGCAGTGGTGGCTCGCTCGGTTCATTCTGCCACGTGTCACAAGCGAACCAGTCAGAGAAATGGTGCTCAACATTCGGCGTCCCGAACATGCTCAATCATCCTTACTGCTTTTGGCCGGACTTTCCACTAGGAAAAAAAGGGCCAAATAACACGTGCTCAAACGTGTACAAAGTTTACGGGTTTGTGTTGTTTTTGTGTTCTTAGCGTGCAGAACTTTGATGAAACGTGCTTTATGTGTGTTCACAAAAGTGTTGTTTGGCCCTTTTTTTCCTAGTGTTCCACACCACAAGTGTCCCTCAAACTCCAGAGTTGTCCCCACCATATTTCCAAGATCAAAAGTTACAAATCCACGACTGTTGCCTCACAGTTCAAATCTTCAACTACGGACCACTTAGGCAATGCGTCATAACGTTGTGCTTCCCCTTTCCTGCGCGCTGCGGAAAAGATTGAGATATATCATATTTTGTTACATAAGGATGTGGTGGGATTTCTCGCTCTCTGGCGGCTGATGTAATCTGTCTCAGCTGTGGTTGAGGCACAGACACCGCGGGGGCGATCGAGGTTGTTATTAAAGGCGTACGGAGCCGCGTAAGTTTGCGCCCGGCTACCTGGCGTGTGCTGTTGCAGCATCCACGCCCGACCGGCACATCCATCACACGCACTTTGATGCGCCACGTCAGCGGCACCCGAAGATCTACCAACTGTGTGAAGCTGTGCACCACCATCGCGCAGGCGTCCCGCAGTACACCACGGCGGATTGAAAAGATGCGGAGGCATCTCGACCGGACGGCCCAGGGCGACTGCCTTGATGCGCGATTAAGGCACCGGATCAGCAGGCGCCCAGTCGCACACCATCCCTCCCCCGCGCCTGAGCCCATCTTTTGAGTTGTACATCCCGGTGATGGCATGCGTCAGGAGGCTGGAATGGCGAGTATCAAGCGGCTCGCGCAGACACGCCAGCAGGCCCGGTGCCCTGGTGAATCCCGCATACAAAAGCGGGGCGGGGCTCGAAAGCGAGCGCTGGAGAACGGTGGTGGCTCTAGGTATCTTGGAGGGGTGGTGCTGTGAGCAGGAGGGTGGAAGGGTCCACTAGTTAAGGGAAGCCCGCTCATCTAAGGTGGGTGGATGGTGGGATGTGTTGTGCCCGGGACGGCGTTGGCGTTGGCAGCGGTGACGTTGGCTGGCCGCCTGGGTTGTTCCCTTTCGCGCGGCCGCCAGCGGAATTGTGGCAGCCTTCGGGTTGAGTCGAAGTGTTCGGTCCGAATCCACGAGGTGGAGACGGGTGGAGACGTTCCGAGTCGGAACGTGGGTGGGTATTTTCCATGCACGTCTGGATTTATGACAGACCATATCCATGTTCGGCTGAGGTGACGCTGGTAGTCTGCGCTGCCTGCTGCGGCTTTGAGGCGGCAGCCGCAGCGCGTGGGCCGAGGAGGTTGATTTCCCGACACGCGTGGCCTGTGTCTGCCTTGACCCGGCAGCATCGTCGACAGAGGCCCCGGCACGTGCTGCCGCGGTCGGGGCTTTTCAGTTTTCTCGGATGATACAGCTTTCCTCAATCTGCCCCTGGACAAGCCCACCGCAGCCGTTGCGCATTGCACGGGTTCTCGTGCGGCTCGCCCCCATGTTCTCGCGCTGTCGGCCATCACCATACGTTATTCTCTCTAACTCGTCGCCCTCCGTCGCTGTCTGTCAGGTGCTTGCCACTGAGTTAAGTGCTGCCGAACATCCCAAAGATGAAGGCGATCTCCGCTGCTCTGCTGCTGTTGGCCGTCCTGGTGAGCCCTCCCGACGCAGCCCCACCGCTTCTAGCTCTCCTGCACCGATTCGCATCGCGCACTGTGCGCGGTCAGCAGCTGACCTGCTTCTCAACGGCACAGTACATTGTCCGGAGCAGAACGCCGTTTCCGGCAAGACCAGCACACCGCACCTGACTCCTTCCCACAGCGCTCATTCTCTCCTGTGTCTGCATTCTCTTCTGTGTGTCCTGTGTCTGTTCATTGTGTCTGTTCTGTTCTGTTGTGCCGCTTCAATGTGTCTGCTCTTCAGGCACCTTTATCGGTCGGTGCTATTGCACCAGTGGCATTCCTGTGTCTGCAAAGTCTCATTCTCATCCTCGCCTGTGTCCTGTCTCTGTTCTTCACCCTCCTGCCCTCTGCCGCAGGCCATCGCCGAGGCGCGCCCCACGATGCGCGTCCTCAATAAGAAGCCCGCCTCCGCCTCCGCCTCCGCGACCGCCGTGGCCAAGGACGGCGCCAAGGCCAGCGCTGACGCCGCCGCTGCGGCCTCCAACGGCGGGGTCGCCGACGCCGACTCCACGGCCTACGCCGTGGGAGATGGCGCCGAAGCGGATTCTTCAGCGGGCGCCTACGCCGACGACTGGGGGTACGCCGATGCGGACAGCAAGGCAGTGGCCTTGGGAGATGGCGCATATGCCGACTCGGATGCCGGTGCCTATGCTGATGGCGAGGTGACCGCAGTCGCCGACTCGAAGGCAGTGGCCTATGGCGACGACGCGACGGCATACTCCGACGCCACCGCCAAGGGGGATGCCAAGTCGACGGCCTATGCTGTTGCGTACGGGGAGGACAACGGAGACGACGGGCACCACTACGGGTACTACCCGTATCCGTACTACCACTACTATCCCACTGCCGGTGATGATAGCAACGACGCCGGCTACGATCCGTACTACTATTATTACCACGGCTACCATGGGTACAAGGCCGTGGACCCCGAGATCAAGTACCCGTATTATGGTCACTACGTGGTCGTGGAGGAGGAAGCCGAGGAGGAGGAGCTCACTCCCGTCAAGTACGTCGATCCCACCATCCTTGCCTACTACGCCCAGAAGGTGTATGACTATGGGTGCTACGAGGGCAAGTATTACCGGTGCACGTACGACGAGTCATGCGGAGCGTGCCCCTACGGCTACTTCTGCGGAGAGAAAACCGAGGAGGTTTGCGAGGAGGGTGAGTTTTCCCATGCTCCCACTGGTTGTCTGTGGGCCGCGGTTCCCCGCGGCGGCGGAGCTGTGAATCTTTTGATGCGTTTGTCAGAAAGCTCAACCAGTGCTGCCCTTGCACCTTGAAAGGCGAAGTCAGGCCAGTGCCCTGTTGGGCGCCTCCTTTGTGCCAGTTGTGCCATGGCAATTTTCAGCACAGGCTAGTTGGTTTGTTTGCTTGCTGCTGACGCCTACTGTTGCCTTCGTGCAGTCGAGGTGTGGGCCAAGAAGTGTGACCCCAAACCTGTCAAGCGGTGCGTGCCGGACCTGTCCGCCTGTGGCACCGGCTTCTGCAAGTACAACGAGAAGTGCGCGGCGGACTACTATTGGTGCGGTGCCAAGTGGTGCACACCCAAGTACTCGTGCGTGGCCGTGAAGACACCCAAGAAGTGCGTGTGGGAGCTCAAGGAAGGCAAGAAGGTGCAGACATGCACGGACTACGCCCCCGAGGCGTGCGTCGCCGGCCAGGCGCCATGCGCGATCGGCTACAAGTGCACCGAGGACCCATGCCAGATGGTCAAGTCGATCGTCAAGAAGTGCGCTCCCAAGACCGTGCCGGTCTGCGTTGCTTACGGTGAGTCGCAGCGGCCGACGCAAGCGCGACTGCTTCGCCGTGTCTGTCGCTCGTTGTACCCATCCCCGAAAAGCTTTTTGTCGCCGGTGGAAATCTACCCTTGCCATAGCTTGGCATCGTTGATGTAATTCCCACCTGACGCCATCTGTTCGGTTCGGTTCGGTGCGGTGCGGGTCGTCTGTTCCTGGCCCCGTCCTGTTTGCGCCTGTCCTGACCTGTGTCCCTTGCCTGCAGACGTCCCCATCTACAAGACGCTGTACAAGGAGTGCGGCCCCGGCTACTGCCACCCGGGCTACAAGTGCGAGTCCTTCGACCACGACTCGTGCGCGGTGAAGGTTGTCGCCGCCCCCGTGTACCACGGCTACGACGACCCCGTGGCCTACGACCCTGTGTACTACGACCCCGTCGACGACTCCCCCGTCAAGTACGACGACGGATACGTGGAGGACAGCCTGCCGTACGTTCCGCACTACTACGGCGACGACGACAAGGACAGCGCCACCGTGACCGCCACTGCAGTCTCCAAGAGCACCCCCCATGGGGCCGTGTCTTACAGCAACGTGGACGCGTATGCCACGGGTGATGGTGTTGCCAGCGGCTGGGCGGGCGCCGAGGCGAGCAACGGCTACGGTGACAGTGCTCACTCTGGGTCCGACGCCACAGCCAGCAAGGACAAGAGCACCGCCGAGACCACCACCAGCACCACCGGGTACGGCGTGGCCTTGGGCGAGGCGACGGGCACCTATGAAGACGGGGACGACAAATAGGGAGTTGATATGAACACACAGTGCGGTGGATGCGCCGTGAGAATTGTGGAATTGTAGGCCTCGAACTCAAATGCGCGGTATGTGATTTTGCATCGTGATTTTTGCTTCGGAATGGCGCAGCGATCAGTGTATTCTGGCTGAGGATTGTGTTACATAAATTGGCGCCCTGATGTATCTGAGAGCCGAGTGCTCTGATCAATAGCTCGACGACTTCACGTATGTTTAAAGAGCGTTCGGGAGCTCAACGGCGCTATGTGGCGCTGGATAGAGTGTACGGACAGCATGCGAATAACACGATAAAATCATCGAGGAGCCAAGCCACCGAGGAGATTCGGGTACTGCACACCAATCGCAAGTCCAGAGTCTTCAGTCCAATTCATGCCCTGACCTCACCTCTCAGTTGAGCACCTAGCGCCCAGGCAACAGTCCGGTACAGGGTATTATCGCATAGGTCGTTCCGTCCCCGACGTTTGCGCAACACGTAATAGTGCACAGAAAAAACATAACTGAGTATTCAGTTTATGCTTTTTCGCGCAAAAACGAAAATTTGCAAAAGGGGGTATTTTTACGGCTGTATTTCCATTTCTACGGCTCGCTAGGACACCTAGGTTGGACGACAGTCGCGTACAATCATCGACCCTCCCTCCTCGAGCGTACGCAACACGGCGACCACCTGACCCTCGGTAACGACAATGATGTCGTCGAACAAAGGTGCGTTTGCTGCCCACAACAGCGCGTCTGGCTGCCACTCCCTGGACTCGGTCTATACGTACTGTCTTTGCACACGGGGGGATGGTTTTACGTTGTATTACGTGTTACGTATTTTAGGGAGTACTATGTAAAATACTCTACGCGTAAATACGATTTCTGTTTGCAGCGTAAATAACGAGTCTGCAGCCCAGGGTGAGTGACAATCAAGTACTATATTGCGATTCGCGCCCGAATCGAAGTCGCAATCACGGCCGCAACTGCACTGCCGTGTGGAAGGATTGGTGGCGCGAAACGCAATGTGCGAATAGCGGGACAGTTCGGCTCCAGCAGCCCGGGAGCATACTGTACAGTGGTGCGGCGCGGCCCCTCACGCAACAAAACTGTTTCGGTAGCCTCGCCCGCGATAGGCTGGACAGCACTGCAGGTCAGGCCGCCGCTGCCCGGTTGCGGCCCTCGACATCAACATCCGCTGCCATTTCGAATTAGTCATCGATTGATGCAGTCACTGAGGGTTGATCACGATGAGGCTATCGCAGCACAGCCTTGGGCGGCGCACCTAAGCCAAACGATTCGTCACCCTGTGCACCCGCGCAGCGTATCCCGCCAACCACCGCGTCCACCCAACGCAAGAAAGCCTTCCTCACTTGCGCTCCACTGTTGTGCGACACCCACAACTGCGCCACCCATGCAAAGCAACAACCGTCCCGGCCCCCCATCGCGCAAGTTAAACGCAGCTTTGATAGTTGACGCCAGGGGCCCAACAACAGTCAAATGTGGTGCTGCTTCTTGACAATCCGTGCATACATATGCATGGTATACCCGACACAGTTTCTCTCTGTGCCGCTGCAACCATGCGCCAATTATCTGTTTACGAAACGAGAGCCGGCAATTGAAGAGCATGGATAGGCGTTGGCCTGCAATGAAGTCAACTAACCTGTGACTGGGTTTCTAGGAAGGGGGGTGTTGGGTTGGAACGATAGCTCAAATGAGCAGGCAAATTTGGAAGGCCATTTTCAGCCTCTGCTTCTTGGTTTCTAATAGGAGTCCCGAAAATAGATGTTATGTCAGCAGTGGATGTCATGGCATCTAAGCACCTTGGGCCAGTCAATGTCCAAGTCGTCAAGAAGTCAGTTTGGCGCCCTTGGAGTTTGGCGGGTTGGGCAAGGGGCTTGAGAGAGACTCGCTGTTTGGGCATAACCTTCCGTCCCCATTCCATCTTGTTCTGCATTCGTCTTCGACACGAACGACCAGAATGAGGTTCGGTTGGCTCTTGGATGCGTGAAGGAATGAAGTACGATATTGGGGGACTGGCCGAGGGCTTAGTCAAGCTGTAGTGAAGCGTAACGTCCTGCGAGGCGCCTGGGCAAATTTGGGTAATGGATGTGCCTGGTTGACATGGTGAAGCGGTTACGGACACCAGTGTTTGTTAGCTTCCCCTCCAACACAGAAACAAAGCGCAATCGAAATGTAGTCACACAATGTAATCAAAGGTAATCCACGAGTACCATTATACGGAGAGTCTTGTCATATGGAGAAACACGTGGGCGGGGATCCAGGATACCGCTAAGGCAGAAATTAGTATATTGCTTTTCTTTAATCGTACCTTCAGTTGGCACGTGATTGACAATTTGTGACTGACACAACAATAGCGAGGATTTGACGCGGACAACCGCTAAGTTTTACAGCCATATGGAAAACACGCGCACTCGATTAGAGCGGATCTGTAAATATCGAGAATTAGGTGGACTGCCTCCTATACGTTTGAGGACACGTGTCCTCGAACGTCAGAGAGCCAGTCTTTGGAAAAAAAATGTTCTTTCTGAAACGAATGGCAAATTTACAGGGCAGCTTACAGCCGTGTTACGCGCTGCTTCCTTAAAGGGAACGTGCCATGCCGACCTTGGCACGATTAGCGTCACATCGACGCCAAGTTCAGAGACAAACCCTCCCTCCCAGAGCGTCAATCTTACACTAAGCGAATAACAGAATCAGCAGCACTGTTGGTGTATTTAGGACATTCAAGCGCCATATGGCGCAGCTGAGTTGCTTCGAAGCAGCCGGTGGCTAGAAGATTCCCAACGTTTCATTCTTCTCATGTACCATAAGCAATGATTGACTGTTGATGGTGTTACGCAAGGTTCGGAGTGGGACTATATCGGAGGCAGGCACAGCCACGGGCTTGGGGACACAGCTGAGGGTACAGAGTTACAGATAGGTCACGGACAGGCATGTCCCTTTATAGTCATACAGCCATCTCCCAATGATGGACCAGTCATTGTCATATCAATGGCATATGGCTGAATTTACTGCCCAAAAGCCTGGTTGGCTGAGCCCTGGGTCTCATTTCGCTGAAAAAAATCCTCCAGGACCCGCCTTTGCATCTCAGTCCACCCCCCCAAGGCCCCAACACCCCCCTCGGCGGCTGAGGCGGGCTGGGCGCGGAGACGGCGACGGCCATGGCACAGCACACGCGCAGCGCGAAGCGGATCGCCGGCGCCGCAGCCCAGACGCCCCGCCCCCTCTCCTCCAAGGCCGCCGGCATCTGCGGCCGTCCCTTCATCCACTCCCTGCTCGCCCAGCCCAGGGGCCGTCCATCAGCCCATCGGCGGTGCGCTCAGCCGATCATCAGCGCCTCTGCCGATGGCGACTTCGAGACAGCGGTGTTTGACAAAGAGTCGGTGACCATGGCCGGCGTGGCGGAGAGCATCGTCCGCGGGGGCCGCGACAAGCTCACCCTCCTTCCCAAGGCCTTCGCGGGGATCCGGCAGGTCGGCGTGATCGGCTGGGGGTCGCAGGGCCCGGCGCAGGCGCAGAATCTGAAGGAGTCGCTGGAAGCCGCGGGGATGGGCGGCGACGTGAAGGTGGTGGTGGGCCTGAGGGAGGGGTCGTCGTCCGCGGCGGAGGCGGAGGGCTGCGGATTCTCCAAGGCGGAGGGGACGCTGGGGGAGGTGTATGATGTCATCGCGGGGAGCGATCTGGTGATGCTGCTCATCTCCGACGCCGCGCAGGTGCGTCGGTGCGGAGTTTTGCCCCGGCTGATCGCAGATCGAGCTGATGGCGGTGCCAGACACGGGGGCCGGAGGGAAGAAAGATAGGCTTTCAGGGGCGGTCGGCGCACGCCCTGTTTGTCGCGCAGTGTTTGAGACAAGGGCAGGTGCACATGGCAGGATTTGGATGCAGTGTGGCGAAGTGGCAGTCTGCCTGTCCGACATAATAGAAACGAACGACTTGCCCGACGGACTCCTTCCAGAGCGTCGACGGGCGGCGCATAGCGGATCTTGATTCATAGGCAGCCGGGCTACCGGGCTCGCGCCTTCATGTCGATCTGGAAGGAAGCAGCTGATGGCTTGTGTGCACAACATATCAGAGTGATAGTGTGCCCCTACCATTCTTATTCGAATAGAATAGCATGGTGTGCACTCTGGTGGTGCACAGGCTACTGAGGTAGCAACTGGCAGGGCGGTTGCAGCTGTGTCGGTAGAATCCATCGAAGCTTTGTTTCGCGAAGATTACTGACTGCAAGTCAAGCATGTTCCAACTGAATCGACAAATGCTTTGGGACAATTCAAAACCCCTGCTGAAGCGTTCATCCAAGGATACAAAGAATTTTGATGAGTATTGTAATAAAGGAGGAAGATGCCCAAATTGCCCTTCAAACTGGGTGCTGGCCACACATGACCTTGTTTTCCAATCTCTTTGTTTCAGGCAAAGCTCTATCCAAGAATTCTGGCTGCCATGAAGCCTGGGGCAACTCTGGGCTTGTCACATGGGTTTTTACTGGGTGTGATGACAAACGATGGAGTGGACTTCCGTCCGGACATTAATGTTGTCCTCGTGGCACCAAAGGTAAACCTAACATCAAGAGCACACCCTACAGGTGGGGTGAGCGCACAATTGTGGTTGTCTCTGGGTGACAACATGATGGCCATGGGTGCAATGGAGAACGGTTGTTGAGCTAACAACTCAGTTCGCCCCTTTTGTGTCTTGGCAGCCTTGCTCAGACAGAGCCATAGCTGTTTCATAACATTCAGTTGCAGCATTGTTCAATATGTGCAGATCTGACTGTGATATGCTGTAGAGCAGTTCCTGGACTGGCCTGTGGACAGTGGCCAGTGTCAGGGTTTTGTCTGTGCACTGTGGTGCATAGGATTGAATAGTCTATGCTGCATCCAATAGCAACTGCCCCTTGCAGCAGCAGTGCTTTTGCATGAGAGTGTCTGCTGAGGATGTTGATGCTTGAGCAGGGAATGGGTCCATCCGTACGACAACTTTACCAGCAGGGCAAGGACGTCAATGGAGCAGGAATAAACTGCTCCTTTGCTGTGCACCAGGTAACATGTTCTGCGGGGTGATGTTTGGGTTTGTTCATTTGGCAATGGTGTGCATTCTGTGATTGGATTGGCCAAAGCTATTTGAGTTGCTGCGATTCCTTTGCATCATCCATTGAACAACCCATTAACTTGTTCTGATTGCTGCATTTGTCCAGTGTCTGTGCCTGAGCATATCATTGTGCTGTGTCATTTGCTGTGCATTGTTCCTTGCCTGTGGACCATTGCCTGTATCACGAGGCAGTTGGAGCTGACAGTCAGTGACAGCACAAGGCGCAATTTTCACAATGCATTAACTTGCTTTCTTTTTGCCTCTCCAGGACTTCACTGGGACAGCCACTGACATAGCACTTGGATGGGCGATCGCCATTGGCGCCCCATTTGCATTCCGTAAGCGTAAATCTGTCACTGTACTTCTGTTGTGTACATCAAAGCATTATGAGCTGGGAAGCCCACACTCTGGCCACCCTGTGCCGTGTCTCTTTTGCTAGCATTATTAACAATTGGAGCCAGAACTTCGTTCAATGGGCAGTGTGCTCTGCAATTCTGGTTGTTGAGTCTTCTAGTGCTTTAAATCATGGCACAGTAGTTGATCGATTTTCACGTGCCTTACTGGAGCTTTGTTGTGAGCTAAAGCATGCAGACTTTGCTCGTCTTGTGGCCGCAACCTGTTGTTGTTGGGCCGTGAGAGTGCTTGACCACTGTTGCTGCAAAGCTGGTGATGTGCAGGATATGCTGTTGACCTGTTCCAACTTTTCACTGTGCCTTTCAACCTAGGTACAACATTGGAGAGCGAATACAAAAGCGATATATATGGTGAGCGCTGCATTTTGCTAGGGGCAGTGCATGGAATCGTTGAAAGCCTTTTCAGGAGATATACAAGTGAAGGGATGAGGTGAGCATGTTGCGCGGAACAGATCTACCAAGACGTTCTATCCTGTTGATCGCCTGCAGTACTGACAAGTAGCTTTGAGATGGCAGAGTGGGGGATGCGTGAACTTTGACATACCTATTGGAGCTTGTGGAATGAATTCAGAGTCAGCTGCACGATGGGAGCAATATATTCTTCTGTGGCCACTCGTTTGTTGTCTTTTTTTCACATCTGAACACAAATATTATTATAGGTGTTGAAATGGAAACAACGTAAGAAATTGTTGGTAGATCCTGGAGGAGCCTAGTTTCCCAGTGACAGTTTACGAATGCTCTGTTTGTGTGTACATAACAAATTCGGCAGAAAGGAGCAACCATGCCCATAGCAGCCCAATGGCATGTGCTGAGCACACTTGTCACACGGTGGTTGGCGAATCACAGCAGAATCCTGGTCTTGTGCTGAGTGCAGTCACCATCTCTGCTCCCTCAGGCTCCTGTGTATCAGTCACTGCGGTGCAGAATTCTTGGATTCTTTTTCTTCTTCTTCTTCTTGGATTCAAATGGCTTCTGACAAGCTTTCGCTACTGCTCTGGTCCCCAGCCCTGAGGACGCTTTCAACCGCAGTGTGGAGAGCATCACGGGCCCAATCTCAAGGACCATCTCCACCAAGGGCATGCTGGCCTTGTATGGGTCGCTGGATGCGGCTGGCAAGAAAACCTTTGAGAAGGCATATTCGGCATCGTACAAAGCGGCATTGGACATCTGCCTTGAGGTTTATGATGAGGTTTCCAGCGGGAGTGAAATCCAGTCTGTCATCCGCCGTTGTGCTCGATTAGACGAGTTTCCCATGGCCACCATCGATCAAACATACATGTGGCAGGTGCGGGCTGCAAAATGTCACTAAACCAGAAATTGTGGATTCAGTCCACAGTGCATTTCACTTTTGATGTTGCACAGTGGGACATGGATGTGTTTCCAGTCAGTGTGTCTTATTTTGTGTCTGCTGTTTGCTACATATGTGTTTCAAGTTGTGGATGATGAGAACTGCAGGTTGTTGCCATTCTATTGGATGTTGCGCTCTGTACATTGCAACATAGTGCCCGCACTAAGACAGAGGCATATGGTGGCAATATGGCAATCCTGGCCCAGTACATCAGCTCGTGGCATCCCTGCCAGCTTTCTCCTTGCCCTTTGGTCGTGGGTTGGCAGCTTCATGGGCCCCTTGCTTTGGCAACTTTACTATAAGCATATGGGACAGAGATTGTGGGATACAGCTGTGAATGCTTTAGCTTGACAATGACAAGTCCACAGTGCGAATGCGAAAGTGCTGAGTGAACTGTTGTTCGACGCACAACAGCCCCCTCAGGTTAAAAGGGCACAGCTGCAATGGAGTATTCAGAAGTATATATGTAGCCGCCAGTCTGGAGAACAGCACAATGGCTGAAAAGCAGCTCCTTCCCTACAAAAGCGAGAGGTTGCTGACGTTTGCTTGTTAGCTGAGTATTCAATCGATAAACTCAGGTCGGAAAGAAGGTCCGTGCCCAGCGTGTGGAGGCAGACATCCCACTGGACCCGTTCACTGCTGGCGTCTATGTTGCGGTGATGATGGCAACGGTGGAGGTCTTGCGGAGGAACGGGCACCCCTACTCAGAGATCTGCAACGAGTCGATCATCGAGGCGGTGGACTCGCTCAACCCGTACATGCACGCACGTGGCGTGGCGTTCATGGTGGACAATTGCTCTCACACAGCCCGCCTTGGATCACGGAAATGGTACCCACGCTTCATGGCCGCCCTGGATGAGCAGGCATACGTGAAGATTGACAATGAGGAGCCGGTGGACGAAGAGCTGCTGCAGAACTTCTTTAACAGCCCTGTGCATGGGGCGCTGGCCACGTGCTCAGAGATGCGACCTCCAGTGGACATCTTTGTTGGGGGTGAAGGGTCCGACGTGGGCGTTGGTATGGGCGCTGCAAGGGTGGAGTTCAAGAGCACAGCTGTTTCATGAAAAGGATGATGGCACATGTATGTGAGATGGTCTGTGTGGAAGCGATGGTTGTGTGTGGGGAGGGCGGATGGGCATCTGACTGCTCTATGTGGTATACATGGAATCTGGAAAGCAGCTGATGCATTGGAGCACCACCCTTTCCCCCGGCAGCAAGAACAAATTGGTTTCTAATGGGTCTTTCCAGAGGCAGTGTGACGTTAGAAAGGCTGAGTTGGAGAGAGGGGCCGCATCCTGAGGTTGATGGAATGAGGGCCCAAGGAACAGGGCATCGTAGTTGTTTGTCTTTTCTTGGGGGCGGGGGCAGGAATTTGTGCGCTGTGGTGTTCACTGGGACGCGCCCAGGGTGGGAAATTTTGCAATTGAGCGTGATGAAGTTTCAATTTGGTTTTAATCTTATGAAGCGAATAAAATTCTTGGCTCGTGTCCCAGGCCCGTTTTTGATGAGTGCATCCGTGCGGACCCTGGTGCCATTGGCTGCTGCTGCTGCTGGTCTCCCACGCGCATAGAAGCACGTTGTGAAAGCACCTTATGCGGATTCCACGTCTTCCCTGATGCAGGGGAAGGTCTGCTTGCGAGGTGCACTTGACAATGGCACAGTCGCTTCTGCGACCCTTGCATTGCTTTCTCAGAGATGCCCACAGGAAGGAACATCTTCAGCCAGGGCGAGGAAGGCACCTGACCTCTCAAACGCGACCCACGGCTTTCTGTTGAGATCATTGAGAAGTGCTCGCGATCGTTGCTGGCATTGTAGAACTGCGGTCGCCAGTGTCCTCACATAATTATGTTGAATGCATGTCACGCAGTAGGAGCCCCTTTCCCGGCAATGACTAAACGACTCTTCCCCTTAATTTTCTCCTACAAAGCGCGGGAGAAGAACGTGGCCGCATTTGTGTGCCCCTGGATACGTTGTGCGTAGTTTGCGGCATTCATTGGGCGTCATTTGATCGGGCATGGATGTTCCGTCCCCAGATCGCCGATTTCAAGACACAGGGCGGTGCTTGAAGCAGTCCTCGTGTTTCAAGGGAAATAAGTTCCTTTGAGGTCACCTTTGCCTCGCTTTGGAGCTTTTGGCATCAAGTCTGGGTACGAGCATTTTTGCTGCTCTCTGCAGAAGTAGGGGACGTGTTGACATGGACAGTAATCTGATTTGTGGACTTCGGTTCCCACGGTGAGAAGCAGGACCCATGCGGGTGTGGCTCATATATGACGATTTGAATCGCGAGCATGAGCTAGTCCTGAAGTTCAGTTTTTTCATGCACTTCAGCTGCTGGCGTACTGGCAATTCATGTGCGAGACAACCGTTTTTATGAGTTTCTTGGGGGGTTTTGTGATGATACCATGAGTTGGACCAATTCCACCATTGGAATCAAGCTGGCTCTGTGTTTTCGCGATAGGTTATGGAGATCGACTTTGTCGTAAGCTTAAGGTCACCTTTACGTGCGTAGGTGGCGATCCATAACGCTTGGAATACACGCCAGTGCCACAAGGTGTCCACCTTGTGGCAACTCTGTACAGACAAAAAACAACAGTGGGCTCAAAAGCACTTGACACATTCGAAAATATCTCCTGGCTGTCTATCCTTCCCGGAGGGTAATAAAATGTCTGTTGATGGCGTCCATGGCCACCTCCATCGCCTGCCATCGTTTCAAGCATCCCATTTCAATCCGCCATCACGGCGTCTTGGAAAGCGATTATGACATTCTTTGCAGCGCTGACTGTTTTCAGTGCTTGAGGGCCTTTTGCTTTCCTCACAGGGCATTGAAAGGGCTTTGCAGTCCAATTGCATAAAATTGACGAGCCTTGTCACGCCATTTCAGGGAGCCGAGGCTCCCAAATTTCGTCAGCGACTCTCAACAATTCCACTTCCTGATCCCATGTGACACCTCTTGATCCATGCGACGCTTGCAGTAGGACCAGGGGATGCCAGCCGTGCTCGCTGGCACGGTCAGCCAGCCTGGTCAGGCCCCTCCGAAGGTGACCTTGCTTGCACGCCTCCACTGATCGGTACTGTGTGTGCACCTGGGCCATGCGTTCGCCTGTTCAGTGCTGGAGAGGTGAGTAACCTCTGCTACGACATTGTAGCCACAATACCCCAGTACTGATGTTGGCTGCAAACTGACGGTGCTCACAGCGTGCTTTACATCAAAGTAAATTGACCAAATTCATGAAATTCACTGAATTCATCAAGTTTAATTAAGTGTCTTGACGAAGGGCTTCGTCGGAGTGTCGACACTCCTGCGTGCTGGTATGTTGCGTTGCGCTTTCAAGTGGTCTCACTGAGTGCTTCCGGCATCAAGAGGGGCGTGCAAGTGTGTTGCGTAGGCACCCTTGACATTTTGGTGGCAACGACAGGCGTTGATCAATCCGCGCACATTATTGCTGACGTGGGGTGCTGTGCACCGTTACCAGGTTGTAGACATTCTCTGAAACCGGAAGGGGGCGCTGCTGCCACGGCATGGTTGTCATTAAAATCCTGAGGCACAGCGAAGAAAGCGAGGACATATCCACAAGAGAGCCAGAACAGTCAACAGTTTATGTCAAGGTTAGCAGTTGAGTGCTGACTCAAACTGTTACTTTGGGGTGCACACAAGAAGCACGGACGGCGCACTCATTGCCGGTCTAAAGGCGCCACACACCGCCTCACAACGCAGCTGCTGCGTAGCATGAATGCTCGAAGCTCGGGATTGCATGTTTGTTAGTCCGATGGCAAACTTGAATACAAGTATCCTTGCCGACGGCGGCATAAAATATGACCAGCCTCCTACGTCTCTTACAGCCGCTCACCTGTCTATTTGTATCCCTAGCATGCTCATCGTTCACACACATGTGCTGTACAGCAGTTCACTCAAGCCACAGACACCTTTTTCATCAGGATCCATTCGGGGTATGGGCGTCTAGGACACGGACTCACCACCACCACCAAGAACAGAATGAACGCAACGTGTTTTTCAACTCCAATCCACCATTCAAACACTGCTTTCCTGACTACTCAGATCGTTCATATGGTCATTTGCAAGATTCAAAATAGTTGCAAAAAAAAAACGAAAAACTGATCAAAACACTGCAGATTTGCGGGAGAACACATCCAGATGTGTGGATCCACACAGCTCACGCACAAGATTTCCCCACAAGGTCCGCTGTGGACCAGATACCATGACCAAGGTATTCCTTTCTTAACTGCACGAGGTTGTTTCCAAAGAGACACATGTGGGCCCAAGCAAACATGAGCGTGATCGAAAAAGGCATCTTATGAGCCAAATCGGTCGAACGCAACCGGCGTTCCATCGAGGAAGTTTATGAATGTTTTGAATAATTTCGCAGCGGCCGTCTACTCCAGCCATCCCACGCAAATGAATCTCTCTTCTGAAATGCGGAGCTATGGCCTGCAATGAAACATAATTGATCCACCAGATGAAACGTTGGTCATTATGTGGCCACTTGAGCGATGTCAAGAACGCTTCTTTGAAGGAAATTGAACAAGGTGCCGGGCGTGATACAAGCCCGAACGCGACGCTCAGACTGCCAGCGCGCCACTCGTGTGACCAGGGGCGGGGGCTTCAGAGAAGCCGCTCCAAAAGACTCATGCACGCGTACTTTGCTGAGGGTGCCCCCCGTGGGCCGCGTCCCAGGACGCACATGCCGCACCCAGCCCCCCCGCCGCAGAGTCATTTTCACGGCTTCATTTTGGCCCATTTCGGAGCCATCACCACCACCATCGTTCAAACCATCCAATGGCACCGCCTTCCGGCCCAACACGGGCTTGGCAGGCCGCCATCGGGGCATCCCGGGAGCCGCCGGGAATCATGGCGATCAGGGGCCCGCGTCAGCGCTGGCGCTCCCAGCGGCCCCAAGGGGCCCCACGTGCACGCACGGACGCCCGACGCCCAACACATATGCACCCACGATGGAGGCCATTGGTCAGAGGTTACACACGCGGGGGCAGGCTGCAGCGGGGCGCTCAGGGGCGGGCTTGGAGGCAAAGGAGGGCCCCTCGCGAGGCCGCCTCGCTGCCACTGAGCGCTGCGACTGCGAACATCGGATGGTGTCGGCGCCTCGGGGCCTGCGACCGGGGCCGTGCAGCAGCGAAGCTGCGGGCGCGTGGGAGGAATTTGGAGAAGGGGTGTGCATAGAAGGGCGGCACCCCGGAGGGGTGCCTGATGGAATGGGGGACTCGTGGGGAAGCGCTGTGAATGGGATTAAGTCGTACGCGTCCCTGCTGTCCGGCGAAAAGGGTGACGGAGCCGGATTGGCGATGGACTTTGGGAAATTGCTGGCCATGAGTGAGGAGGTGGGACGGGGGTGCGAGCCCTGCGGTGCGGACGGGCACTCGGAGGCGCAGGCGGCCACGGACCCCCCTGACGCCAGCCCGATCAAGCGCACGGCGACGATTGATGCCCGAGCGCGGTTTTTGGGTCCGGGCGGAGGAAGGGAGATTGAGAGATCTACACAAGGGGCGCGGGGGTGGCTGGGGTGTGGCGGGGTAGGCACGGCCCCCGGTGGCCCGCCGGGCGCCGATCGGCACAAGACGTGGCTGGATCAGCTGAAGAAGACCAAGCGGATGCTCGCCGGTGAGCTGCCGCTGCGGCAGCTGCGGACCGGGCGCGGCGAGGCGGATGGTGGCGGCCTGGCGGGCCTCAGGAGCTGGGTGTTCGCGAGGTACAGGAATTCTGCCGCCCTGGCCACGGAGTTCATCGAGGAGGTGCTGCAGTGCGGGGAGGTGCTGATGCTGATGCGCGACATGGCGGGCGTGGTGGAGGGCTACGAGGCCGGGCGCCGTGCCGTGTCGATGGACGACTTCTTGGCTCTGCACCACAGGCTGTCCGAGCGGGCAGGCGCGCTGAGGGCCAAGCGGGCGGAGATCGACCGAGCCGCGGAATTGGTTCGGAACGCTGGCGGTGAGCCTGGATACGGTCCTGTCGATGGGGAGAAGGGGATGGAGAGGAAAAAGGGGGAGGGGGAGGCCGGGAGCTGCGCCAAGGGGCGGGGGGGCGCTCGGGCGGACTCGACTGGGATGTCCAAAAAGAAATCTGTTTTGGTGGGGAAGACAAAGGGCGGGGGCGGCGGGGAGGATGCCGCCAGGCGCGCCGATGCGGCGGGTGGGAAAAAGGGCTCGAAGGCGGCCGCGAGGATGCCGTCCCGCGGCAAGGCGGATGGGGTTTCGAAGGGTGGGGAGGGAGGCGGGGATGTCAGGAGAGCGGCTGCCGCGGGGAAGGCGCGGGGGCAGAGGCGGGCCGGCGAGGCTTCCGGCCCGAAGAAGGCGCCGCGCGGGGCGGCCGGGCACCCCCCTCGACTTCTTCGGTCCAAGGACAACGTCAATGCCAAACCGGTGCCTAAGGGCGAGGTCGGCGGCGATGAACGCGCCAGGCCTCAAGATCCGTCGCGTGATTTTCCACGCGCACGCCAGCCGTCGGACCTGCTATCCGTGTGCGAGTCCTTCCTCGCGATCGGCGAGGAGTGGTGCATGGGCGCGCTGCGACGGGACTACTGCGACCTGGCCGCGGCGGGCGTGTCCAGCCGCGACGAGTGCTTCGCGCTGCTGGCGGTGATCCAGAAGGGGCAGCGGTGGCTGGACGGCCTGCCGGGGGAGAGAGGCAAAGAGAAGGACGCTGAGGGGCTGCGGCGGCTCATGGCTGACACCGTCGTGCATTGGGGGTCCCACATATGCGAGTTGCCCTTCTCGATGCCCACGGACCCCAGGTGCCCGAACGAGGGGGAAGACCCGACGGGCTAGGGGACGGACTGGGGCGCATTCCGCACAAGTGGGGAAAGGGCCCCCTGCCAAGGGGTCGGCTGCACCAGGAAAGAACACATACACACACATACACACACGAACACACACAGACACAGTGCGGGGCCTGCGTGGGCTCTGCTCGCTGGATGCTGCTGGAAGAAAAACGCTCGCAGCAGGTTTTGAATTAGCATTGATAGCATTGACCGAGGAGATTTAGCACTGGGGGCTGGGGGTTGTGGTCTGGTGGGTGAAGAGTCGACTGCTGGCGGCGGTTTGTGCTGGTGGTTGCTCAATTTCTTATTCGGGGCCGGGAGCTGCTAGTTGGAGATACAGAGGGGTAGATGAGCAGGCACCGGGGTAGAGGAGGGTAGCGTCATGAATGAAGCTTATTTTGTGTTTTGGGGCGGGGAAGTGGGGAGCTCACATTCGCTGAGGGGAAGCGCTGGCTGGGGTGTGGCTTGTGGACGAAGAATAAACACCTGATCGCGGTTTTGCGCGATCACAGTCACTGAAAGCACTTCGACTGTAACGATTTTGTGTGCCAAGTCTCAAACGTGGCCCAGGCTATGGTCACAACCAAATTTGAGTCCCTCCTCATTTCAAAATCAGCAAGTCAGAACATAAGCGAAACGTTGCGCCATGAGCTCCATGGACGAGGGTATGCCCAGGCTCCAAACAGCTGACAGCAATTTCGGCTTCGCCTTGCTGTACCACACTCGTTTCCATTCGCCAGCGTGAACTGAGGCCAGCCGACCAGCGAATGGCGGGAAATTGGAGCCTCTCACTTCCCTTTCTTGCCTTCCTTCATACGCACCTCCTCACCAAGATACCGGATGCCCTTGCCCTTGTATGGCTCAGGGGGTCGCTTGGATCGCATGACAGCAGCAAAATTCCCAACAATCTCCTTGTTGTATCCGGAGACTGTGAGGTTTGTGTTCTTTTCAACCTGAAGCATGAATCGTTAATCAGACGTCGCACAATGGGAGAGGTTCCTGAGGCAAACGAGATCAATACTGTTGAGATACGGATTGCCAGTTACTCCTGCAATGGTATTCTGAACCGCAGCCCAAGGATTGCTGAATCGAGCCCGCAAACTAGGACACTTGCACCGAACCATCTCCAGCCAACACAAGTGACGGTCAACATATTTGACAGCCGATCATGGAACAAGGGAGCACAGTGTTTGTTGGCTGGGTACAAAATTTTGCAAAGGGGGAATTCAGGGCTTGTTGGCAACAGGATGGCATCCAGCCAGCTCCTCTACCCTACATGAGACACTGTTGCTTGCATGCATACAAGTTAAGATACGTCTGCATTGCCATGGCATCCACTGTGGAGGTGTGTCATCTGTCCTGCAATTGCCTGACGTAGGACTGGTTGAGAAGCATCAATTGTTGGGAGAGACACAGGATGTAATCAGAGAGTTGTCGATGAGGATGTTATATGTACAAATAGGAGCAGAGGGTGCCTCAAAATTGTTGATGGTTCCATTCCGGGCTGGGTGCAGGGTCCAGGGACTAGAGTGTAGCCACACATGGCACACGATTCGCCCTGTCCAATCAGCAGAAAGTGCAAGGCGTACCAGCCAAAGCAACAATGCTCTGTCGCTCTGTTGGAGAAACCTGGCCAGTGAGGAGCACTGAACAGGGCCTCCAGCAGCGATCGCACATTATGATGGCCATGCCATTCACTATAGTCCGAGGGCTGCTCCAACAAAACCAAACTGGCAAGAACTGGTGATCCAAGTGAGGGGGGTGGGAGGGAGCAATGTACCAGGTGGTCCTATACAACCACGTCTACCAACAACTCGATGAAACACAAGCACCTTACCAGGCAGGCAAAACACACACCCACCGGCAGGAATGTGTGGACGACAAGCATTGGCAGTTAGGTACGATGGTGTCAGCCCCTGCCATTGTCAAAGATGGGGAGTCCCGGGGACATCTATCCCTCACCTGAACCTTCACCCCCTCTGGCACATCCAAAACCACAGGGTGGCAGTACCCAACATTGAGGGTCACCGTTTGTCCCTGGGTTGAGGCACGGTAGCCAACACCGATCATTTGCAGCTTAATCTCAAAGCCCTCAGACACCCCGACAACCATGTTGTTGCACAAGGCCCTATACAGCCAAACAAGGCACGTTTGTGAGCAAACCATGCCCTCTGATTCTCTGATGCCAAGCACAGGCGGAGCATCATCACCTCAGAACACTGTTTCTGATGAAGGACTGTGAATCTCCCCTGCTGCATCAGAACACATGGAGACACATGGACAGACCACACATCTGCGGCTACCCACCTTGCAAGACCGTGCATTGCCTTTCCTTTCCGGCTATCGTCCTTGCGTGTAAATACCAAGCTTCCCTCTTGTTCTGTCACCCCCACATGGTTGGAGAACGTTCGCTCTAGTTCTCCCTTGGGGCCCTGGAGCGTCACCATGGCAATTCACACAGCGCCCTGGGCGACAGAAATAGAGGCAAGGGTTTCTGGCTCTCCAGGGGCCAAACGACCGTTGAGCCAATGATATGCAGGCGCAGAGAACAACCCAAAGACAAGTCAGCCGGCACCAAATCCAACTGTCGATACCGCGGCCTGGCAAAGGCAGCCCAAACACGGAACAGGAGCGCAAAGTGCATTGACCGCGGCCCGCGCTCATAAGTGTTTCTTTCTGTCCCAATCAGGCGACGATCCACCCCTGGCAGCATCCTGCCGCCCTTGATGCCCAATCATTGGCCCATTGCGCAGCGTCGGCATCAGCGCCGGGGCGGGAGGCAGCGCCCCGCATCCTCACCTTGACCTTCAGGAAGTTTCCCTCCAGTGTGTACGAAACGCTGCTCGGAATGGGCACGGGTTTCTTCCCGATGCGCGACTCGCCGCACAGGACTTGCAACCGCCGTCTGGGCCCTGGACGCGCTCCCGCCGTGTATCTCGCCAGGGGGCGGCCGCCAGGCCTCGAGCTCACGGGCCCCCCTTTCTGAGACCCCGCCTGTAGCATCTTCGGCACTGCGTTCCGCCCAGCCGGTGGGACGCGGGCGGAGCAGTCTGGGGCGTTGGTCCCCGAACTGGTGGAGGCGCGCAGGCGGTCTGCTCGCCGCTGACTAGCACCAGTCCTAACACCTAATCTGCGCAATTAGGAAACTTGCGCCCGAAACGCTGCCAAGAGGCAGAACCTCGCGGCCTGGGTCCAGGCCGTGGGCGTCACCCCAACACATGCGCTGGACATACGTGGGCGGCGTTGTGTGGACGTACTTGTGCTGTACACCACGGCCCCACTGTACGTAGTTTCACCCCGCCGCCCAAGTGAGTTTCCGCAATTGTGGTATAGTGAGGAGCTATGGGATAGTCAGGAAGTGTGGACCTGGGGGGCCGGCTCAGATGGGTCGCGTATAAGCAATGCGCAGGCTGCTGCGAAGCGAATGGGCACAGTCAAGTGGGGACTTCGGGTCATTAGTGGTGATGGACGAAAAGTAAGTTTGGAACTGCAGCTTCTGCAAAGTCTGGATTGAATGTCTGGGCGGACGAGGATACCGGCATGGCAAAATGTTTGGCAAACAGCTTGCTTCATGCGCGCACGAGGGACACAACATCCTCCTTTGCACACGAATTGTGCCATTTGATGTGTTGCTAGTGCGTGTCCCCGGGACACTGTCCCGGCTATTTCTGTGTCGGACACAAGAATCAAAAGCTGCAGCCACACAGCACAACACCTCATCAGAGCCACCGAGGCAATGCTGACAACACATGCTTGCGAAAGATGGACACCGCTCACAGCTGGGCAGCCTCACGCTGAATGGCACGCAAGCTAGCCCAATGACTCGTCGTATGGCCGTCAATTGTCGGCAGGGAGCTAGCGCGTGCCACTCACAGACTACAAGAGCCTGATTCTTCTGGCGAGGCCTATATGCCAAAGGCGATACAAGCCATTCTTGCGATGCTCTGCAAAGCTGCACGTTGCACCTCCCACCAGCATTGGTTGGGTTCATGACAGACGATGCCCCAAGACGCCCCTGCCAAAGGCGACCAGTGCCCCCCTTTAAAAAGAGATGGGGGTGGATCGAGCGTGCCTTGAACATGACAAGGGATTGTGCCCCTCAACAGGCAACCACAGCACCTCGCACTCCCCTCCCTGCGAAAATGTACCCAACCACAAGCAGAGGTGGCCAGTTCTGCCAATGGCGTCCAGCCTGCAGACTCACAAGAATTTGGACTTCCTTCCCAGCGCTGGCACCCGTTTGCTCCACCTCCATTATCAAGAGACTCTCAGACAACCACCACGAACGCCACATCCATCGGCCACTCCGCATCACATGTCCAGACACCATTCTTACATAGGATAATGAAAGGCTTCTATTCCAAATGATGGAATGGCAGCTTCCCTTCATTCCCCGCCCGCTGCCAGAAGACACCCAAATATCCAGACACTAACTATACAGCTCCAACCTGTCAGCCTTCAACCATTGACGACAACAACGGAAGACATCTAGGTCCCTGATGCACAGCATGACTTCTTTCCTGCTGCCTGTTCTGCCGGTTGATCCAACACGAGCTTGGTTCCAGCTCCAGGTCCCTGGCAAGACAATGATCAGGAGTAAGAGCACAGATTCCTGTGCAGTACCCCAGCATGGGGTGACAGTCGCAACCCTTGTCTGACTGCAAAATGGATGAATTTTGGCCAAGTTCCTTTCGTTGCAAAGTCAACTTTGCAAATGCAAACCTGTGCAAATCATGTACAAGAAACATAAGGAGCTTTAGCAAGACATCCGTTCTCTGATATTGCTACTGTTCTAGCTCAACCATAGGATGTCTCTTTCCAACTCAAGCACACACATAAAGTGTGCATCACCAGCCCTGCAACAACGAACCAGGGCAATTGAAAACAACGACAGACAAATTCTTTTCCTCCACCGCCTCCCATCAGCCCCATTAGGCGCTTCCTACCTGTGTGGGTTCCTCCGCCTCGAGTTGCTTCTTGCTGACGATGTGGTAAATCTCAGTCAGTGTCTGTTGAAAGGCCTTTTCTACATTTGTGGCTTCCAGTGCAGACGTCTCAATAAAGGACAGCCCCTCCCTCTCACAATAGGTCTGAGAGTCCTCTGTCTTCACTGACCTCAGGTGTCGCAGGTCACTCTTGTTGCCGACCAACATCACAACGATGTTGGCATCAGCATGGTCGCGGAGCTCTTTCAGCCATCGCGACACGTTCTCAAACGAGGCTGGAGCAGGGAAGATGCATACAATTAGTGACGCATTGTGGGACAGACGTGCAAGGACAACATGCAGGGTCTGGCGCATGGCCCCCACTGGATCAACTGTTGCAGGAGGAACATGCTCCACAATGCTGTTCTCTCAACATATGCTTTCAACCTATGAACAACCCTGTTGAGATTTGCTGCGAGGTTCATATATGTGAAGCAACACTTGCAGTTCCCCTGCAAGGGCAGCAACAGCAGCCACAAGTGACTCCTGCAATGGTACAGTGGGTGGGCTTACAGGTTTTTGTGATGTCGTACACAAGCAGTGCTCCAACAGCTCCTCGATAGTACGCATTGGTGATGGCACGGTATCTCTCCTGGCCAGCAGTGTCCCAAATTTGGGCCTTGATGGTCTTGGAATCCACCTTCAGAAGCATGCCACTGTGTCACTGAGTCAATTCAGTGTCAACAGCACCACGCCCAGCAGCCTGCACCTCGTCACTGTTTCCCCCCATGTGCAATACCAGGCCACAAACAAATGTTTGCACAGCACAGAAGGTGCCCAACGATCACAAAAGACACAATCTGCGGCCACAAGGTCCAGCCATGCATAAGAGTCGCAACCATGGCCTCAGCCCACAAAACACCGATCGGCTGTATCCCTGCCTTGTGCATCGTGTCCCTGGAGCAACCATGCTAGTGAGGTTCACCTGTATGCTCCTGGTGGCGAACTCCACTCCGATTGTGGATTTGGACTCCAGTGAGAACTCGTTGCGAGTGAAGCGGCTCAGCAGATTGGACTTGCCCACGCCAGAGTCGCCGATCAGGACGATTTTAAACAGGTAGTCGTAGCTGCGGTGAGAGGGCGCGAACACAAACACACATGCACAGCCAGTCATTTCAGACAAGGTCGACATCCGTGATGGTTTTGCAAGACAAGGCACGGCGGGAGCCGTGCCCCGGACCAGCCTCAAAGGCCGCCCGGAAAACATCCAACACCAGCGCCCGGCGTGGCACCGCCGCATCCGCCGGCGGGGGAACCGTGCGGGGCACGCGACCCATGCAGCCCGTGGGACCGGAATCGCATTTGCGCCGAATTCAAACTTGCGCCCACCGGCGCGCGGGCACGCGGAAATGCGCAGCCGCCCTTTCACCCACCCCCTTCCAGTCCACGCGACCACACCAGCCGCATCGCACCCGCGCAGCGGCTTGCCTAAGGCAAGCAACCACTCGAGCAGACAGGCAGAGGACACGTCCCCAGCCCACCGCCGACCACGGCAGCCCAAGCCTGCCGCCCGGGCCTCCGCCCAACGATGCCGCGCGCCGCCCGACCCCATCCTCCCCCCCCTCGCCCTTCTCCCGGGTCAGGCAGCCGCTCGACCCCGCGCACCATCAACGCGATCCCCAGGATCCTGCCAAGCAAACTGCGCACCCCCGCTCGACCCCGGCCGAGATCCCAACCTCGGCCGCCGACAATCCGGCCAGCCGGCCGATCGCCCATCCCGGGCCTGGCCGAGCGGCGCCTGCCGCACGCGCCGGGGCACTCACTCGTCATCGGGCCTCTGCGCCATCGTTGAGCGCCCCCCTGCGAGCCGGGCGAGCTTGAGGGTCTTGCGGGTCCGAGGATCGCCCGCGAGCGGCCGGCTACAGAGGGAAGGCGGGGGGGCCCCGGCGGGGAAGGGGGGGGGGGCAGCACAGCACGGCGATGTCGCGCGCAGGTTGCTGGGCGACTCGGGCGTGCGTCGCCACAAGGCGGAGGGCGGATGGAAGGGCGCACAAAGGCGCGTAATAATGGCGGCCTCCGCCCCGCGTAATGGGGACGGCGCGGGTTAAAATGGTGCTGGGTGCGACGGAAGTAGGGGTTGGGAAGGGTTGAGAACGCGACAGTGGCCTCCTCGCAGGTGCCTTGCTGTGAGGGGCTGCGTGGTGGTCGTGATTCTTTTCTTTTGGGAATCCAAAATATTACTTCAGAAGTACTTCGCATTTCAGTGTCCGGGTGCCTGCCCCGTCCTATCGCAAGACTGTGGAGGGGGGTGATTTGTGTGACGGGGTGGCGGTGGCGGGTGTGCCCTCCCCACCCTGTTGTGCACTAGTGAACGGCGATGATGATGGTGATGGGCAAAACGTTCGTAACATGGGTCGACTCTCCTTGCCTCGGGCGGTCTGGGTAGTTGGCGATGACCTCTTTGTCCAAGTGTGTACAATTTATTGAGTGGTCTGTTTCTCCCTGAAGCGATGGAATGGAGTGAGCATCGCGGAATGCCAAAGTCTGTTGGTTGCTTGGCACGACCGCAGAATATTCTCTGTGCGCGGGTTGGCAGATTGGGGCTGAAACATATTTCAGAGGTAAATGGTCCCGGTAGCAGTGCCCATCATTTCAAATGTGTGAATTAAACAATTATACGAGGCACAGCAAAGACAACTCCACAAATTCTGCGCCTTTGCCGACGAAGCAATCTTAAGGCAGAATCGAGCCCGAGCTTCTGGTTGAGCGGAGCATTCGTCCAGAACGTCGAATTGCCAAGCTTGCAAGGGTCAACTAGGTCAGCACAGAGTGTGCGCGGTGACCGGTATCCACTAACAGCCAGCAACAGCGAGCAACAAAGTTCCAATGAAATAGATCAATACCTTCCCCGCCCATGCCCTCCCCTACGCGACCCAGGATTCCTGTCAGCGTTCCAAGATCGTCGCGACCCATTGTGATGTCTTCCCCCCTCTCGCCTCCTGTTCCCTCCTGTGTAATTTTGCTGAAAGCCCTCATTCATGCCATAGTTGCCACCAGTCCCATTTATGAGAGCCCTGCCATCGTGAAGGCCGTCCACATATGACGTACGTGGCACTGCCCCGAGGTACTGACCACCCCCCAAGTAAATCCCGTTTTGTAGCCCTGGGTTGATGGCTGCCTGGCCACCAACCATCACCTGAGGAAACGACTGTGTGTTATAGGGCTGCATATTCTGGGGAATACTGGCAACATTCAAACTTCCTGGTATCCCAACTCGCTGCTGAAAATGGGGGGCGATTTGGGGGGTCTGTCCATATCCCCACATCTGGTTCTGGTGCTGGTACTGCTGACCCATCACAGCACCGGGGTTCACCACATTCTGTAGCAGTGCATAATTCGAACCATATGCATGCTGCCCATTGCCAATGTGCGCAGGGTCCATTGTGGCAGCATTGGGGAACCCAGTTGGGCTTGGTGCACTTGGGCGAATGCTCCTCCTATCCATGTTGTGGTGGATGTGCCGGCGAGCAGCGTCCCCAAGGCGAGGAGCATCACGAGGTCGGGTGTGCTGGCGCATCTTTTCATGCCACAGGGGATTCTGTGGAGGAATGTCCCGTACGTCGACGTTGCACTCCTGAATGAATGCATTCAGTCACCACATCAGTGCCCATGCATCACAATATACATGCCACTCACTGTCGTTTGGGGCAGCCTCAACACGACAATCCACTTTTCCGATTGGATTGTCAGATCCGTCTTTGATGTCAGATCGAAAAACAGCACAGAGATAGCAAGCACCAAGTGGATACAAGAGGACCTTGGATTCGTACAAAAACAAGATTGTGTGACAGAAAAAACGGATACACCTGTTCTTAGCTGCAGAACATGGGCTCACGACCAACAAGGCCATGCACGGCATTCGGCAGCCTCATCACCGCCGCTTCTGAAGAACAACAGCAAATGAACAGCAACACAGCACCAGTGCTGGCAAGGGCTCCCATGCAACTGCGCATCCCCACTCAAAATCACAATTCACTGGTCGCCCTGCTGAAGCTCAACGGGTGGCAGTTGTCGCCATTGCACACTGGCAATCAACTTACCGGGACATTTGTTCCCTCCAGCACGCGAGCTTCGTGCTCTTGGTGGGGTGGAAGGATGTACATGACGCACACCACCTGGTTGGCAGTAATGTCTTCCCCAGGTTTGAAGGGTGCATGAATTACTGCAGGGGAGTAGTCTCCAGCTGGTAGGCAGATAAAGCCATTGATTCCCTTTCGCCAATCAAACAAGTTGTTGTGTGTTTTCAGTGAATTTCGTGCACACTTGATGAGAGGTGGTAGCCCAGCTCTGTGCAGGGCAGCAAAGTTCACGTTCGCTGCCAAAGCCGCCAAGGGGGGGATGCCAAGGTGCAAGAAACAAGAAGTTGTAAGAAAGGTCAGACAAGAATAAAACAACCTCGGGGATACCATTTTGCCCATAATTGGGGCACATATAAACAAACAGCAAATAAATATGACGTACCAGTCACCAACATGTTACCAGGTGTCTGCTCTCTCTCACACCATGCTCCTTGTGCACAACAAACTTGGTGCATGATGGTGCCTGCTTCCCACAATTGCTGAAAGGTCCAAAGATGGCCATAAATACAGACACTACCACACGAACTACCATCTATATGTACACACCCTCGATGGTAGACAACCACTCAACATCAACAGAATAATCACGGAATACCATCATCAGCATCTCTTGATACATGCATGTGCACACTTGACTCAGGGAGTGAATAGTTTCCTGCAGGGTGGAGAAGTGTCACACGATTTTTTGGGTCACCAACTTGGGTCACCTTAGCCTCTCTGGGGTCAATGGCTTGCTTGTTCTCCAGCCTCTGGTCAAACGGAACATCTCTCTGGTTGTGCGCCATTTCATGGACCGCAGGGGCCATTGCATGAGCACTATGGAAATAGAGCTGCTGCAGCTTTGTTGTGTTCCTGTCTTTCTCTTCAGGAGTCAGCTTGTCCATGTGGGGCCTGCATTACAGTTATGGTCAACCAGCAATGTTAGGGTACTCTGGTCACAGATAAACACAGAAATATGGCTCCACATGGTTGTGACATGGCAGCGCTGGAACCCATTTAGACATACCATCATGCTTTCACGTGACTACAGCCTTTGTCCACAAACAGCAATCACACAGAAGCAACTCAGAAGGGGACAATGCCAAAATAACTGATCTGGAACAGCAGGGGTCTCATCGCTCCACAGGTTTTCAATACCATGGAATACTTGTGCGTGCACACCATTCTTCTCTGCCCTTTGTTGTGCACTGATACGCGATGTTCTGATTGAGTTTTTATTGAACCAACAACGTTAGGGCACCAGATTTGCAATACTAGACACAATCACACAACAAGTCCTCATGATTTTGGAAATTTTATTGACATGCTGACATACCACCACTGTGCATGCACAGGGAATCCAGCACAGTGGCAGGCAGATGGGCACCTGGCTCTGAGCAGGCACAGAACTTAGCACAAAGAAAAGTCTGCATCCATAGCCTGATCGTGCCTTGGGTTGCAAAAGATGCCAAGACAACCAGCCAACAAGTGTACAGCACTCACTCCATCGCGCTCACAAGCCTGTCCTCATCAATGAACGGGAGCAGGGCCACAGCCTGCCACTGGAAGCGCTTGCCATTCATATCTTGCTTGAAATCCAAGGGATAGAAGTCCTTGATGGGCGAATCGTCTGATACAAACAAGTCCTGCAATGGCTGCATTCATACAAAGAGCACAGAATCATCAGGCGCTCAGGGCTCTGCAACGTAAAGGTGCCTGCGCATGCAGCAGACAGCCCATATGCAAGTTTCACAGGAAGGAGACACACGATTGTGCAAAAATATTGACAAACAGAACCTGCATATGGACAAATGCATTCTCGCAACCATGCTGGAACAGGTTCTCTGGTTAGTGTGGTCACAACATGCTGGTCTGCAAGTGCTACCTTTTGACAATTGTGTCAAACTCAGCAAAGGGGACATGTACAACAACAAGACAATGGCTATTCCCTTATGAGCTGTAACACAGCGAGGAACGCCTCACAAAGTCATTAATGCACAAAGATGTGAATGTGCTCCTATTTCCTCATCAGATGCATGCAATGAAAATCAGTCCCAAGCTTGTACCTCAGGCAAACTGTGGCGACTTCCGGATGGTAGAACAGACATAAGCTGCTGAATGGGGTCAAATGGCTTCGAGAGTTCAAAGTGGGGCTCGATGTGAGACATCTGGCAGAGATCAGATGTGAATGGTGCATAATGGTAGGGGTAGTACCACCGCCATGAGGGCACACCATCGTAATAGTAGCCCATAACCCAGCACAGGCCCTCAACATATGCCCTCACCATCCCGTCTTTCACTTCTTGCAAATTCGTATGATTTGGGTATTTGCTCTGCAGTGCACCACAATAAACAAGAAAAAAAAATCTGTCACTGTGAGCAATCCTGCACTTTGTTTGCCACACATGCAGCAAATAATTAGCACTCAATGACAGTGGCAGGTCACTTTCTCACATATAGTGCTTTCTGGTGCCCACTGTGCTGTTGTGCAGCTCGCCAAGACGCAACAAACACTGCCACTGGGAATGTCAAAACCTCATAAAACCTTGCAGTTTTGAAACTCTTTATGGGTTAGACTAAAGCCTGATGGTGGCCTTTTTCAAAAGCACACCACCATGTCATGCATGTCATGGCATCATCACTTGAGAAAGATTGACCTGGGGCTCTCTCAACAGGACATTGAAAGATGGTCTTGAAGCCGATTCCGGCAAGGAGACAGGCAAAACAGCGCATGTGTTCAGAAGCAGCCAACAAGGGCTGGATCTGATGAAACTTGCAATCAACGCAGTCCACAAGCAGACTCAGCCTGGATGTTGGATTAGTGCTAGAATGGAGGCCGTGTCTAATGCAACACAATGTAGCCTGAAAAAATTCTTGTGTCAAGGTCAGGATGAAAGCCAGCACCCATGACAGGGCATCAAGGACGATCCTTCAGGCACACCTTGTAGTACCGATCCTTGTATCCTTCCTCCCCCAGAGCCATGCTCATGTCATGTTCCATCATCTCATCAAACTTATCAGCCTTCTCTTTCATAATGCTGCTGATTTTGGAGTTAAACTCCTGCTGAACATCAGCCATCTTCTCTGAATCAGCTTGGCCTGGCATGGTCTCAGCTGGCAACTGCAAAGCAGCTCGCATTATTAGGGCCCCCGGCACAGAATCGTACAGCTATTATCCTGAACTTTTCTCTCCAAGTACTCAACAGCAATGTGCAACAGAACGACACCAACCATCTGCGTAATTGATATTCAGCCTAGCAACCTTCACTTCTCGCTATCAGGAAGGTTAGGTTTTCCTCAGTTGCAGACCACGCAAGCTGCACCCTTCGGTTGCTTAGCCACTTGAGTGGCCTCCCTGACTGCAATGCTGTACTGCAACCTGCAGGCTTGCCTTCAGGTGGCAGGGCTTGACGTGAACCAGCAAACTTCAGCTGCCCATGTTTGCCAACTTCACCAAGCTCCTGGACTCCTGTTTTGCATCAACCCCATCTGACCCTATCTTGTTTCTCCATTTCAGCTGCTGCTACACATCAGGAGGCATATCATCCGCTGTTGTTTCCATCTCAACACTTGATGCACACAACAGCCCAAGCTAGTGTACAGAAATGGACAGGCAAGAATTGGCAGGAAGCCCATTCTGTTACCTTAAAGGGGTTCTTGTCATCTTGCTTCCCAATGCTCTCCATGTTTTTCCACATGTCCTCATGGTTTGCAGATGCCGGGGTGCTGGCTCCGTCACCCTTGCTGTCAGCTGAGCTGTCCACTCGCTGCCTCTTTGAGATACCGCCTTGTACGAAAACAGAATTGAAAGCCACACCCGTCAGCAGGCATCCAGGACATCCTCAACAGCACCTGCACCACAGGTGCCATCCACAACAACAATGAAGCTGGTTGGAACGAACCCTGACGTAATAGCAGGGTGTTTCCACTACCGACACAGGCACCAGCCGGATGCAGGGTCATCGCTATAACAAAGCACAAGTGCAAGTACACAATGGTACACATACAGCACACATTCGATTTGTCCCAGACACTGCATATCATGGTAGACACAACTGACATGGCATTGTTTGCACTACAGTATGTGTTCAGGTAGTCAGCACAGTTGCCCCCAATGCACTTGATGCTTCATTGAACCATGGTTGAAGGGTTGCCAAGGAAAAGTAGACAGCAATGAGGGCAATGATAGTGGTCATTAAACCCGTACCCCTCAGCTGTTCCCTCAGTTGATCTGCCACAGCTTTGTTCTTTGTGTTGTTCTCACTCTGGCTGTGACTGGACAGTCCTGGAATTGTTGGGCTTGCACTGCTCGGTGAATTGCTGAATGCATGACGTGGGTGAGGCATAGATGAAGTGGATGCCAAGGCAGAAGCTGGAGAACGTGTCCCCAAGGTGCTTACGCTTGACAAGCTCTGATCAGTGCGAAGGCGCTTTCTGAATGCATAACAACACAAGCCAACATCAGGTCACAGATGCATTCACACTGCTTGCACACAGGATCTCCTGTGGTGACAATTTCTGCCGGTTATCATCAGTGAAGACATCTGTCTTGGGGTAGCAGTACACCCCCGAAGGAACATCATGCGGGGCCAACATCTTGCTGCTGTCAGCCAGTGTTTATTGACACAAACAGTGCACCTAAAGCTGGTGGAGGAATGGGACTGTCTCGCGCATTGGCAAGGGGCGCTTGTATGCAAACTGGCTGAGCTGCCAGTACAGGCACTGCTTTCAACACACACGTGTGATGCAGCTGTGCAATTTGCGGGTATTAGCATGTGGGAGAGTGCCATCCAGAAACCTTCTCCCTGCAACAGCAGTGAGGAAGCAGACAAACAGACCCAACATCGGCAGCTGGCTTGCCGAACAACGATGCAAGGCTGACACAAACCATCGCAAGTGAATCCACTGCACGGACAGCAGTTGCAAGCAGCCTGTCACTTGCCTTCTTGATTATGGTCTGTACACACTGCTGTGGTGAATACACTCACCTATCAATGACTGCACCTTGGCTCAAGTGTGAACTGAAAATTGAGTCCATAAACAAGCCGGCAAAGCTGGAAATGCACAATTGAAAGGAGCATCCCTCTCCAGGTCAGAGGATGTATATACTAGAACATGCCTATGTGTCCCAGATAGGATGTGCTAGAATACGTGTCACAGAGGCAAGGCAGAGGCCCTCAGCAACTTCAATGCTGGGCACCATGGCTAAAGACAGTAATCTTCACAAATACAGGGTTCAACCTAAGGGCTCACTGCGGCTGAAGCTGGCAGCAGCCAAGCTGGAGTGGGAACACTTGCCATAAGGATAACAGTCTGTTCATCACATGTTGCTGCGATCGGGGTCACACACCCACCTTAGTACGAACAGGCACTGCAACTTGGTGGTACTGAAAAGGCTGCACTGGCTATCCTACACGCACAAAATCAATAACTTGAAACTTCGATTTGCGGCAATCACCTCTGCCTTTCTTTGCTGTCCTTTTGGTCCTTCAGGCGCTTCATCCGTGCCCGGAAGATGTCTTCTTCTTCCTTAGCCACCTCTTGCACCAACATCTCCACACGCTGCAGGTTAACTTTGCTGCCATTGCACAGGAACCCACCCAAACGGGGCAAGTTTTCCCGGTACCTGAATGGCACAAAAACGAGCTTCCAAACTTACTCACAACAACACCTGTAAGTGCAGCCAAAAGGACTAGGAAGGTAGTTTCATCCTGTCCCCTTGGCATTGGACAGCCACAAACACAATGTCCAAGACATGCAAAACCAGCATTCATGTGGTGGGTGGCCCAATTGAGGCTTGCATCTGTGCATGATAGATCCTTATCCCCAATCCAGCTGGTTAGCTGATTTGGAGAGGGGGCGCCCCATGTCTGGGCAAAATCATGCATTAGGGCCACAGCAGAATTACGGCCCACCCCCCCATAGGGTCTAACTGGAGGGAACAGGTACCACATCACGTCAGAAAAAGAGACATGCTCAGCAGGTGGTGCAGTCAGCCGTGTGCTTACCTGCGCATCAACAGATCAATCCCTCCCTCGCGAATCTCCAGTGTTGGCGAGTGTGGGAGAAAGTCATTCCCAACAAAGAAGCAAAGGAAAACGAAGTCGTCCAAGACGCGTTCTTCATCCCACTCGAATGGCAGGTCATCCCTGTGCAGTTCAAGGTTGAGATACGCCCGCAAAATGTGGATAAACAGAAGCTGGTACGGTTTCTTGGCTATGCTGGGCTTGTTGCCAGGATCAGGGGTGCCAAAGGCTGCTGTCAGATTGTCTCTTGGGTCTGTTTTCTGCGGCATGAACACCACCTGCCCACAGAACAGTGGCTGCTGTTACTGGCCGTTGGCCACCAAAGTTCCCCACAAACATGCTGTACCGGAATTAACGGCTCAACCCGAGAGACGCAGAGGCATCCCAGAATGCTGCTGAAACAGCACCAAGCCAAACATCCAGTTGATGCTCACAGAAACACTCATACCTCACGCAGAATGGCAAAATGTGGCTCATGTGTTGCCAACGCCAACATGATGAGGTCGGCATCCAGCCCATACAAGACATGTCGCGTGTTTGGATCCCAACCCTTTCGGCCCCTCTGCTCTCGTATGTAGGACACAATCTTGTGCTCACCCTCCCCAGGAGTATTGGCATCTGAAAGAATCACCTTGTACACACAGACAGATCAACTTCAGCAACATGGACGTACTCCACAACTCGCTTTCGGCCAACCCCATGGGGTTGGTGACAATTCTGCCACTTTCTGTCACACAGTGACGAATGCAAACAGCAGCAAATATGCCAACTAGAAACAGATAACACTAACTGTACAAACACTGAGTCAAACGAAGAAAGTAAAAAAAAGGCGCTGCCACATCGACATGCTTACTGTGCACATTCTACACATGTCTCTATGTGCACTCACTCTCTCAATGCTCCCATGTTCCAAGAATGACGGCAGCTCAGAATAACAGCCTTTTGTGTACATTGACAAGCAGAAGAAATGTCAAATGGCCTTTGTGTAGCGGAAGAAACTGGCAATCCCTGAAACAATGTTCCCGTTCCCATGCTAGCATGTGAAATGAGCTCACCAGCAGATCTTTCCATGCCGGAGATGTGTTTTGCCTCAAGTGAATGTAGTATTGAAGGGCAACAGACAGACGAGCCATGAATGCTGTCCCTGGGGTAATGACATTGCTGTCAAAAAGCTGCCCACTCTTTTCCTTTTTTTGAGGAACCTGCAACAAACAGCTCACAATTAAGAATCCATCAACACCAAAGGTTGCCACTGTCAGGTTGCTTGTTGAACGATTTCAAAGGAACAGCACACCAGGTTGGCAACTTTAGCAAGGATAGCAGAACCAGTGTCGCCTGGATGGTGGCCAGAGGGAAGAATCCATGAGCGGGAGCACAAGAGCAGCAATGACTGGTTGCTCGACATCGTCCAACCTCTCAATCTAGGGCAATTTGTGCATCATATTTCTGTGCCACTGTGCTCTGTGGTTGCATGAACAAACAGCAGCTGCATTCTGATACACAGGTGAGGCATCCATCGCTCCAAAGATGGGCACAATTTGCACGACACCAGCCACATTGAATCCACATTATGTAGGAGCCGAACAGTTTTCTTCCAGTGCTGAAAACTGTGGTGTGGTGGCAAGCCACATGATGGCAAAAATAACTTGTGCAGTTGTATGGTCTACCTTTAGCCCCATTGCTGCAAATTCCTCCCTCAGCTTCTCTTCCTCCTTTGCCTACAAGAGGTCAAATATTCAGGAGTTGCTGTAGTGTACTAGAACAACACACTGACATTGATGCACGTGTAGGCCTTTCCAAACTTGTTGGTTTCAGTGACACACAGCAATGGACTGAATAGAGTGCCTGACAACAGCTCACATCTGAAAACTCGCAGCGTTCTAATTCTGTGCCCTGTGGTTGTAACAACTCAAATGTTGTGGGCAGTTCAAGCAGCATCCTTGCTGCTGACAACAGCCAATGGCAGGCCCTTCAGGAACTCAAATTGTGCAGTTCAGCAAGCATAGGCGACCACAGCACAGCAACCTGACATAAGCAGGAGGACCGCCTTGAACACAACGAAAGTTGCTCTAATTGCTCAAAATCGTTGGCAACTGCTGCTTCTTCTCTGATCGCCTGCAAGGTTCTACACAACCAGGCTGGTTTCCAGTGCCACTGCCCAGGGATTTGCCCATCCTGTTTGCAGTCGTGCACGGCAAACTGCCAAGCTTTGCGGCAATCCAGATGATCTCGGCACCCATTGCCATTGGTACCTATTGCCATCGCCCATTGGCATCTATTGCAGCAGTGGACCCCAAGAACACACAGGCATCAGTTGCAGATGCATGCACATAGGTACCTTGTCCTCAGACTCCTTCACTGACTTGAAGCGACGTGACCTTTGTTGGTTCATTTTTGCCCGGGGAGCCACTCCATCTGCCAATACAGATGTTGCAATAGCATCAAAAAGGACGCCATCACGAAAGCAAGCAGCAACCGTGACTGCATAAGTTAGTGCCATCTGACAAAGTGTTTTCTGATGTGATACTTGTGTATGCAGGTTCGGGCAAATTCACGACCGAATCGAAAGTCTGTGGGTTGCCGCGAAGTGCCTGGTGTGCCTTTGGAACACCCTGCCAAGGCGCCTCCTGAGCTCACTCACCAATGGCCATGAACAAAAGCTTTCTTGGGCGGATCAGGCTGAAGACGTGGTCAATGTATTCAAAGATTAGCTGAAACACCTCTTCCTCAGTCGTTGGCGCTTCCTACAAAAGAAGGCAATTGTGATGCTGCCTATCAATGCAAAAGTCGGGGACTTGTTGGATTTGACCACATCCACGGTGGAAAAGTGTGTTGAATGGTGGCAGGCTGTCCGTATACGGGGCTCAAGCCAGATTCCACCGGCCCCTACCACCAGCTGATCTGCTTGCAGAAGCAGCCCAAACTCTGCTGCGACAGCAGCTCACAATAGCAGGAGCTCCACCAGGCAGCCTGCGGCTTGGAACAGCCACTTCGCCAGCACCACAGGCCAACTCAATGAACACTGTTCCTACCCAGCTGATCTGAAAAGCGTTTGATCAGCATGGCAAATGACGACGCCACCAGGCTCACCCTGTCCTCCGGATGGAAGCACGGGTGAATGATGCCGTTCATATCCTGTTCCACCGTCAGAACGCCCAAGTCAGCGCCATCACCGGCGAATCCAGCAGCAGCGGGGCTCAAATGGGGAGCAGAGGAGCATGCGGCCACAGCCACCGGTGCACGACAGGCAAGCGGCGGAGCTCGGAGTCGCACCAGGTACAGGTTGTCCCATTCCCCGTTCTTGCATGGCTTGGTGAGGTCCACGGGGATCTTCTGCCCGTCGAGGTCCACGGGCTCTTCATCGATCACATCCCTCACAATCTTAGGGTACCTGCAGCGGGGAGAGGCAGCGTTGGCCGCTGCAACCGATCCGCACGCGCGCGCAAGCGGCGCGGCAAAGCCCGGCGACGGGGCTCGGCTCCCGTGCCTGTTGCTGAGCCATCGGTAGAACGCAGGCACTCCCATCCTGGCCGCAGAGGCCTTCGCGCGTCAGCCAGTCAAGGCCTACCGCGCGGGGCGCACGGGGTGGGCGGCTGACCCCTGCGGGTGCAAACGCAACGTCGTCGCGGGACGGCGACGAACCAACCCCACCGGAAAAATGATGGAGCTCCCTGCTGCATCCCTCGGGCAATTAATTGCAGCATTGCTTCCGTTACGGGAAAATTCATGGAAGAAAGTATGCAATTGACTCGTGGGCAGAACTGTGGCCTGTTCGCAACACCGCATAATGGCCACCGTTTCACTGGGTGGATCACTTATGCATTATGGTGTGCGACTTGTATGCACATCAAGAATATGGTTTCTATGCAAGGCATTCTGAATGTAGAAAAGGAAAAGAAAAATGTGTTTCAGAATTCACAGAATTGTTTCTCATGTGATGGGACTTTTGTGAGCATCAACTTGGTTGCTATGGGAGATGCCATCCGATTTAGAGACAAATGTTATGTTGAGGTCGCGCTCACAGCTGAAATATTTCTACATTGCCATTGAGTGTATGGGCACCTTTAGTATATGTGTTATAGAGTGGGTTGCATTGTGGCGATGAGTGGGTATCTTTGAAATGTCGTATGGCTGGTTGGTGATGGATGATGGTCCTTGTCACGTGAAAAGGAAAGTTCTGTGGGTGCAAGGGAATTCGAGCTGTTCGGTTGCGGGGGTCGTTGCCACCGTCGGCAAAGCCCTTCGCTGTGGGAAGGGTGAACAAATATGTAAGCCCTGGGCGTTGTGTGTGTGGTGTGGCTTTGCGTCTGGCCGTGTGCCAACGCCGTTGGAGCATCGGCGATCGTGGATTCGCGCTTCCCGTGTGCACTCCAAAGGGAGCCGTTTGAATCGCATCAACGGCATTTCCTTCAAGATGGTTTCGGAGCCGAGGCAAGTTCTGGGGCAAGGCGACGGTGGAAAAAGTGCAGGCAAGTCCCCAAGAGTTGTTTGGGGGCAGTTTGCACGTTGACCGACTCGGAATTCAGTCAACAATCGGCCAGAGGGTCGGACGGGTGGAGTTGCAGAATTTGCAATTGAGCGAGATCGACGGCTGGCGAAGCGCGATCGAGGGCTGCGAGACGGCGGCGGACAGCGCAACAACGTTCTTAGGGCAGCTGGAGGCTGTTTGGACGGCCTTTGACCCGTCGCTCGGCAGCCATCGCCCAATGCGGCGAATGGCCGCAAGTGTGAATCCCAGATTTTGACCACATCGGCGGCTTGGAAACGACGTCCGAGTGGTGTCCGACGATGGCAAGCGGGCCGCCAAGCTCTTGTGAGTAGCGGGGAGCCATTTGCCAGCGATTTCTGGCAACGGCAAATGTGGGTCGGTGGGTCAGCGCTGGCTCAACATTTGTGTTTCGGTGAGGCGTGGACTTTGGCGAACGATTGCGCAACGGGTGGCCGGCCAAGGAAGTTTGCAGCATGGCTCAGAGCTCTGCACGAGCTTCCCAAGACGTGGCTATGGCCGATGCTTCGAGCGAGGACAGCGCCGGGAGGTTGAAGGGGCCAAGGCGGCGGATGGTCGAGGGGGCAAAGCCGCAGGGGCTCGGAGTTCTCCCCCATTGATTGGGCCCATCATTTGCTGGAGGTCAGGCCGCTTGAGGTGGAGGTACAACTACTGGGGCTGCGCTTGTGTACAGGGATGCAGAGGTGACGAATTCGGTGACTCCCGAGGCTGGTGAAAGCGCGCAAGTGGACCCAAGAAATTTTGGTTTATAAATTTATCATGATGGGACAACCGATTGCTTGGGGATTCTGATGGCACAATAGGTTATGAAGAAGCTTGAAAGTGGCTTGGTTAGTGCCATGATTATTGTGTTGATGAAGGTTTGTTGGTTTGTCACTTGTTTGGGTTTGATTTTATGGGAATGGGCGTTGGAAGTTTGCATACTTTCATGGGTCTTACCATATTGCAACACCAAAGCTGACCGCGGCTCTCAGTTCTTGGTGATGCTTCTAACAGGAATGGCTCACTCTGTGATGGTTTTCCATAGTGTGGTGCTGAGTTGATGATTTTCCAGCTAGCACATGCCAGCTTGTTCTTCAAAACATCATTTTGCTCATCATTTTGCTGATGTTTCTTTCCAGCAATAGAGATCACCCAATTAGTGGTTTTCTAGATTTCAATCCATGTGCTGATGTCTCTTTCCAGCCATGGACAGCATCTATTTTAATAACCCTAAGGAACATATTGGGATGTTTCTTTCCCCATCATGAGGTTGTGTTGGTGAATTGCCTAGCCAGCCTATCCTTTGGTTTTATATTGGTTCAGAAATATGGTGCTAGCTCATTGGAGAGAAAGTCTACCAAGTCCATTGCGTGCGATGGTGGGTATGGGCCCACTGTCAATTCGGCGTTAATGGGGGAGGTGTTGGGTGATAGCAGTGGGAGTGGTAACAAGAGATGTTTCATGATCATGTTATGGTGTGCCATGGGATTTTAGGTGGTGAGCTGATTATGGCAAATGGTTGATGTTGGCTATTCCTTGGGGTCCTCTTGTTCGAGGAAAATATGGGCCCACCAAAGTTCGGAGTGTCTCACAGATGGAAACGTGGGAGAGCCCATGTTCGCAACACCGCATAATGACCACCGTTTCACTGGGTGGATCACTTATGCATTATGGTGTGCGACTTGTATGCATGTCAAGAATATGGTTTCTATGCAAGGCATTCTGAATGTAGAAAAGGAAAAGAAAAATGTGTTTCAGAATTCACAGAATTGTTTCTCATGTGATGGGATTTTTGTGAGCATCAACTTGGTTGCTGTGGGAGATGCCATCCGATTTAGAGACAAGTGTTATGTTGAGGTCACGCTCGCAGCTGAAATATTTCTACATTGAGTGTATGGGCACCTTTAGTATATGTGTTATAGAGTGGGTTGCATTGTGGCGATGAGTGGGTACCTTTGAAATGTCGTATGGCTGGTTGGTGATGGATGATGGTCCTTGTCACGTGAAAAGGAAAGTTCTGTGGGTGCAAGGGAATTCGAACTGTTCGGTTGCGGGGGCCGTTGCCACCGTCGGCAAGGCTCTTCGTTGTGGGAAGGGTGAACAAATATGTAAGCCCTGGGCGTTGTGTGTGTGGTATGGTCTTGCGTCTAGCCGTATGCCAATGCTGTTGAAGCATCGGCGATCGTGGATTCGCGCTTCCCGTATGCACTCCAAAGGGGGCCGTTTGAATTACATCAATGGCTTTTCCTTCAAGAACCCCAAAATAGCATGAATCAACGTCATTTACTATTTTGGGTGTGCACCTCGACGTTTTGGAAGGGCAGTTGGACTCGATCACTGATCGCTCATTCCGAAGATGAACGGGACAATTCTGAACGATTCAGTCAAATCCGTCATAACTTGTGATAGACAAAGAGCCATATCAATACGATGAGCTGGGGTAATGAGTGGACAAGTGATAGCTGCGCTGATTCACAAGGGGACATTATGCACATTGATAGCATATGGATATCGGCATGAGACAGAGCCTGATGATCGCCCTAAAAATAGCTCAGTACATTGCATGATAGTGTGCTATGAATCATGCTTCTGACCAACATGACACAACCAAAATGCACGCAATCACACTGGGGCGTACTCCCAGACCTACTGTGGTACATGCGCAAACGCTCCGTATGTCACGGCATGCCGCAAAAAGATTCATGTGCAACGTCAACCTTGGTAACTATACGATCACTTGAAGGGGTCCCCTGGGGACCCGTTCTGGAGGGGTAAGAGCACGCGGGGAGAGTGTCGTGGCGCGAGAGGCAAGCTGGGGAACTCGCTGCCCAAGAACCACTCACCGAAAGTCGAAAGGACTGCGCATATGGTGGACCTAGTTGGCGCACCTCCCATAGGCATGTTGGCCCAAGATGTTGAGGCGCCGCCTCCCCAAGGGCAGCTGATCCCCTTAGTAGCGAGGCTGCATAATTTACTTGCTGATTATTATCTGTTACTCTACTAGCAAGGAAGTACTATTCTATGCTAAACAACCATTGACTAATATCTTCATTAGTGCGACCATGAAAGGTCTCTAGAGTGCTAGGCTTTGCCGTGCTTTGATTCTGTATTCTATTACTAAATTCTCTAACAATATCATGCGCTGTGTCGCGGGCTGCGTCAGCCCTTGCATCTGACTATCTTAATTCGTGTCTTATCACGTTGATACTTTTGTCGCCGCATTCTTCTCAACGTAGCGTCTAACCACCGGTAGGCGCCCAATGCATCGGGTACTCGATCATTTACCGCCACTGAGGTGGCCACACCGATCCCAAGCATTATCAGCGGACATTGTTTCCGTTAATTTTCCTCGCTAATTAACGAAAATAATCTTAAAAAAGACAGTACCAATCAAAAATTAACGGATTTTTGGATTTTTTTGGGGATTTTTGGGTTTTAGTCATACTTATAGTTTATGAAATTCGCTATTAGAGAGTATGTTTGTATTTTATTTCAACCTATGCATACTAGATTTTCAACTAGCCGCAGTTGTTGTGATTTTTTTGGATTTTTTCGTTTTTTCTGAAATTTTCTCCCTTTTTCTTTAACGAAATTTAACGGACAGCTGATAAAAATTAACGAATAAAATTTAACGGACCGGATGGTATCTTTGAGTGGCCACCTCTACTCGCCACGCCTCCGCTCTCAGTGCCCCTTGCCCCAAGCACGGCGCCTCCCGTGCCCGCGGCGGCGAACCCGGCCGGCGCACCTCCAGGAAATGGGCCATAGGCCCTGGCCTGGCTGCTAGCGGCATCCCTGGGGGGGAATTGCGGTTGCGCGCTGTCAGCGAAGGGCGCCGCGCCATGGCCGGCGGGACCCAGCGCCATGGTGCGCAGCGCCTCCCTCACCGCCGTGCCCGTTCGTTGGGTGTTGTTGTTCATTCAGAAACATGGCCGGGAGGTACCTTCGAACGGTCCACGTGAACGCGTCTGCTTGCACACACCAAAGTTAGTGATCGGCTATTTCTGGATGGCTCCATGGTTTGACGGGTGCAAGG